AAGTCATTTGTTCTGTTTTGTTTTGAGACAGGTCTCTGTAATTTGTGCTGGCCTTAAACTCACAGCAGTCCTCCTTCCTCAGCCTCCAGAGTGCTAGGATTACAGGCATGCACCATTTCTTGCCTCATTTAATTAATAACTGTATCCAAAATTTACTGAGCTCATACCACATCTGCCCCTCTTCCATCACTGTTAAAAATCATTACTTAGTTTTAATCTCTCATCAACATTTTGAGGGCGGGGCCTGCCCTGAGCTCCCATATCTTGGGGAGTGGCAGAGTCAGCAGCTGAATCCAGGCCACTTGGCCTCCGGGTGCTCTTATCATACAGTATCACTTGTTACTACCATACAGTCATGGTTTGGGCAAGGCTTTGAGCGCCCACTTGGTAGCAGGGCCTGTGCCAGGTGTAGTAGATGCAGAGAGGTGTGGAGCAGGTTACCTGTCCTTCAGGAGCTCAGACACCTGAGGAAGACAGGCACACAAAGCACATGCTCCCGTCACAGAATGACACTGAAACAGAGAGTGCAGAGTCTGCAGGAGCACAGGTGCAGGAGCTGGAGACATGTGACAGAGGAGGTGGCATTTACCTTGGGCACAGACTAAGAAATGCATTCTCCAGGCACCTGCCCAGCAGTAGGAGGACACAGGGCTAGCGGTGCACCCCTGCGGCAGGCCCTCGGCCGCAGAGCTGACATGGAGCAGTGAGTAAGGCTGGCAGTAGCAGTGCCAGCCTGCATGCAGTGGGGCGCCACCTCAGGTGCCTGAGTAGAGATGCACCCTGGGTAGCCTGGGAGCTCATGCTGGCTGCTCTGTGTGGAGGATCAGAGAGGGAGAGAGGTGTGAGCCTTGCTGAAGGGGAAGGTCACGCCCCTGTCCCTGTCCTCTTCTGTTACCCTTCAGCCCCGCAGCCATTTTGCTGTGACATGCCAGATTCATCCCACCGTGGACCTATGTCCGGCTATTGCCCCTGCCTGGAATGTGTGGGCCCCTAGCATTTGTGTGAGTGGCTCATGTCTGGCCTTCCCCAAGCTCTGTGTCAGCCTCCCCACGGCGCTGCCGAGCCATTGCATCCCGTGTTTGTGCACACAAGCTTCCTCGGACCTCCTTCCAGGAACGTTTTAAGATCTTTGTGGGGCTGGGGATTTAGCTCAGCAGCACAGCGCCTGCCTGGCAAGCGCAAGGTCGTGAGTTTGATTCCCGGTACTGGAGAAGAACCAAAAAAAAAAAAAAAAGATCTTCTTTGTGCATATGGTTGTGTCCCTGTCTCTTTGTCTCTAAGATGTCACCTTTTTGGAAGTGGGTCCCTTGTATGCTTGCTCAGAGCCATACCCCATTGCTGAGAGGCAGATTGGCACATAGTACATGCTTGTAAACTTGTGTCCAGTCCAGCTAGTGACTGGTGGGGAGTAAGACATAGAGATCTTAAGGATGCTGCCATGGTTTCTAGTTTTGGTGATGGAGAGATGGTGGTCAGGGGACACAAGAGGCAAAAGAACCAAGTTTGTGAGTAAAGATCATGGAACTGGCTTTGGAATGGGGGCAGAAGATGGTTCTGTAAGCTCGAGACTGAAGTGGCAAACCGTTAGAGGTGAAAGAGTCTGTGGACATCTTAGGCAGCCTGCTGTGCCCCAGCATCAGGCACATCTTGCCAGGGCTGGGTGGACACTGAGGTGGGCAGTGCAGGTGACGGCTGAGCTATAGGCTTGGGCTCCTGCCCGCACAGCATGGCCTCTTCACTTGACATCACCCAAGGGCCGTTGAGGGGCACATTCAGGCAACAGAGCTCTCTCAGAAAGCTGTGGGAGGCAAACCTGCTGGGTATTAGTCACACACCCCTTCTCACTGGTTGGGAGAAGGGGTCTTGGGAAGGCCTGGCTCCTCAGCCGCCTCCTGAGGGGCCTTGGCTGAGGCAGCAATCCCCCCTCCCATTCCTTCCCTAGACGATCGTCACCGGATTGAGGAGAAGCGCAAAAGGACATACGAGACCTTCAAGAGCATCATGAAGAAGAGTCCTTTCAATGGTGAGATGGGGACTGGGGAGAGGCCGTGGACTGGGGAGGGGACACACTGGGAGCTGAGAAGTGACCCTGCCCTTGTCTGCAGGACCCACTGACCCTCGGCCTCCTCCCCGACGCATCGCTGTGCCTTCCCGAAGTTCAGCTTCTGTCCCCAAGCCAGGTAAAGGTTTTCTTTTGTCCCCCTGGAATGGCAGTTTCCAGTCTGATTCAGGCCGGCAGCTGTGACACCTTCTGGAAGGGAGATGAGCAGAGGCAGGCATCTGATGCCTGCATTCTGTGGGGCCTATGCTTCTCAGGGGTAAGGCCTGCTGACCTCTGTCAGCATCATCTGGGAAGCAGTGGTGTGTGGTTTCTTCGGCCCCTTTATGGCCTCTGAACTGGGGGCTTTGGAGGGATGGCACAGGAACCAGCAACTTTCCAGGGATGCTAACATACGTGGAAATCTGTATAGAGGAGTTAAACTATTTTGGGATACCTTGGGATAAAGATGTTAAAAGCAGACATTCTCCGTCCCTGTCAATTAGGAAAGCAAAATAAAACTCACTTCTAAAGTAGTATGATTAGCTGGGCTTGGTGGCACATGCCTGTAATCCCAGCACTCGAGAGGCTGAGGCAGGAGGATTGTTGAGAGTTTGAGGCCAGCCTGGGCTACAAAGTGAGCTCAAGGCCAGCTGAACTGCCTAGTGAGACCCTGTCTCAAAAAAAAAGTAGTATGATTTATGTGCTGGTGTGTGGCTCAAAAAGGGGTGGCAGGTGCCCACTCTAACCCGCTGTTCCCTGGTTGCTCCATGGGCTCGTCTCCTTCCCTGTTGTTTTTTCATGTGTAAAATGAGAGCTTTTCAGGCTCTAGGAGTCAGGGAGAGCTCCAGGGAGGAGAGGTAGCTAGAGGTAGACCTGGCAGACCAGGTCGGATTAGCAAAGGGGGAGCTTGGGTGTTGGCAGTGGCTTCTAGGGAGAGGTCGGGGTGTGGAAAATGGGGTGGGTCTCTAGGGCTTGTGCTAACCCCGGCCTCTCTTTCTCTCTCCAGCCCCCCAGCCCTATGCTTTTACACCATCCCTCAGCACCATCAACTTCGATGAGTTTTCCCCCATGGTCTTACCTTCTGGGCAGATCCCAAGCCAGGCCTCATCCTTAACCCCAGCCCCTGCCTCCGTCCTGTCCCAGAACCTGGTCCCTGCCCCAGCCATGGCACCAGCTCTGGCCCCAGTCCCTGTCCCAGTCCTGCCCCCATGCCCTCCCCAGGCTGTGGCCCCACCTGCCCCAAAGACCACTCAGACCGGGGAGGGCACGCTTTCAGAGGCCCTGCTGCACCTCCAGTTTGATGCTGATGAAGACCTCGGGGCCCTGCTTGGCAACAGCACGGACCCAGCTGTGTTCACAGACCTGGCATCCGTCGACAACTCGGAGTTTCAGCAGTTGCTGAACCAAGGTGTATCCATGCCCCACCCCACAGTCGAGCCTATGCTGATGGAGTACCCTGAGGCCATAACTCGCCTGGTGACAGGGTCCCAGAGGCCCCCTGACCCAGCTCCTACTTCCCTGGGGGCTTCAGGGCTCCCCAATGGCCTCTCGGGGGATGAAGACTTCTCCTCCATTGCGGACATGGACTTCTCAGCCCTTCTGAGTCAGATCAGCTCCTAAGCAGTGACACCAGCCCTGCCCAGAGCATCAGGTTGCAGGGGACTGAAGCTGTCCCCAAGCACTTATGGATTCTGGGGGGGTTATGCTCCTGCTGTCCCCAACTTCCTTGGATGATGTTTTTCTGGGGAGCACATTTTATTCTTTTATTGGCAGTATCTATCTCTCTTTTCAGAGGTGCTTAAGCGAAGCATTAACTTCTCTGGAAGTGGGGAGCTGGGAGGACTCAGACTCTTCCCTTACCGTGATGCTCAGCCCCCTTCTCTGTAGGGATCTCTGGGTGCCCCCATCCCCCTCCTCCAGCTTCTAGCACTCTTCTAGAGAGAGGGACAGGCTAGAGCCATGGCCTCTGAGGCCAAAGCCTTACTATCAAGTGTCTTCCTTCTGTCACAGGTTATTGTACACCTTGACATAAATCATGCCTCTATGGCCAGCCTCTCTGTGGTGCTGCCTAACACCAGTGCTTGAGGGACTGGCTGGCTTTCTGCCCTGCAGAGATCTCTGCTGGCTTGCTGTTTGCTCAGCTGTGACTGAAGAGAAGGAGTGGGACCAAACTGGCCCTCTCCAGTAGCCTGAGGGAATTTGGTCTAAACTTCTCTGCTCACCTTTTTCTCAAGTGCCTTAATAGCAGAGTGAATTGTTGGAAGAAGGGGAGAGGGCAGGTGGGAGGCTCTCCTGTCAAGAGGCATGGTAAGGAGCTTGACTTGCTCTTTCCACTCTGAACTAATAAATGTGTTACCAAGCTGGCCAGAGATTTGCCTTCTTTCAACAAACAGCATGCCTGTCATGTCAGTCTGGACATGTGTGATACCGAGTTGAGTAAAGATGCATGTAGTTGTCTAGGAACCCCTAGAACCCCCTGGTTACTGCCTAGTGGCTGTGAAGAGGCAGTAAGGCAGAAGTTCCTGCATAGCCAGCCCAGCAGAGCCCACTGCTTGTGGGGATGGAGCAGTTTCAAGCATCTTCAAGGAGGTCCCGTTAGCTCCAGGTCTTAGGAGTAGCAGAGGATGGATTCCACAGAGGGCCTAGCCAGAGAGGAGGCCTGCTGGGTAAGACACCAAAGTGGGGCCAGGCTGTCAATAAGGTTGTGCTAAGCAGTTTGAACTTAATCCCTTAGGAGACCAAGGGAGAGTTTGCCTCTGTTTGGGAAAGGGGGCTACGCCTTCTCCACGAATGCTTTGATACCCTGTGCTGGGAGGAGCGATGAAATCCTAATTCACAATCTCTTTGGGAGGCCTAAACAAAGGCCAGGCCACAGACCTTGGGCTACAGAGGAGCTACTTCCGGTCTGATTGCGCACGCGCAACAGCAATAGCGAACCGGCTGGGTGCGCATGCGCGTAGATAGCATTTAGCCTTGAAACGGCCAGAGAAAGCGCTCCGCTAAACTCGCAGGCTAAGACCCATTGCGTTTGTGTTTGAGGCTTTGCACCATTGCGGCAGGGTGATACCAGGGGCACGCAGATCAACATTAGTGGGACAAGCTGCAAATGTTAGCGAGTGCCCTGGAAACAGGCCTCACAGACGCCGATGGACGGCGGCTCTGAGAAAAGATACTAGCGGGATGTGAAAAGTTGAATCGGAGGAGGCCTGGGGAACTTCAGCCGGGCAAGGTGGTGCACGCCTGTGACCCCAGCACTCTGAGAGGTTGAGGCAGGATTGCAAATTTCAGCCCATCGTGGGCAATTTAGCACTTGATGAGACTGTCGCAAAAACCGGGGCGGGGAGGTGAGATTGGGGATGTCCTGGGTTCGATCCTCAGTACCAACAACAACAAGAAAAAATCGCGTCTCAGAGTGAGGAGGCGGACCGAGGAGGCGCCTGCAGCAAGGGTGAGCCATTTAGGGAGCAAGCTAAGGTGAATGCCAGTGCGGGAGGCGGAGCCCGAACTGGCAGCCCGAACTGGGGTTGGCCGGGGCCTGGGGTCAGAACCGGGCGAACCTGTCGCGGAGCACGGCGAGGCGGGGCTAGCTGGAGCCGGCGCTGAGGCTGGCGGGACTCGGCGGGTGCAGAGGCTTCTGACCCCGCTAAGCCGCCCACAGGCTCTCGGCTGAGGTCCAGGGAAGCGAGTGCGCCCCGATGCTCCAGTCTAGGCAGTGCCGCGCTCTCCTTGGCTGTCCCAGTGCTCTGCAGTGACCTCCGGAAGCCTCCTGAGGCCCTTCCCACACTCCCTGAGTGACCTCATCATGCTCATGGCTCATCTGTCTTTTTGTTTTGTTTTGCTAAGGCAGAGACCTGCTATGTAGTTCAGGCTGGCCTTAAACCCACTATGTAGCCCAGGTTGACCTCGAATGCTTAACAATCTCCCTGCCTCAGCCTCCCAAGTGCTGAGATTACAGGCATGTGCCACCTCTCCTGCAAGGCTCATCAGTCTTTGTCTTCAGCACAAGTCTCTTCCCGCTTCGTGCAGCCCACTGGCTTCTCAAACCCTGTTCCTGGTACCCTCAGCCATTCCCAATCCACTGCCTCCCTTTCTTCCTCCCTGTCTCAGCTACCGCCCTACCAGCCTCCAGGGACTCTAGGCAGAAACCAGGACACTACTGTGGCTGCCACTTCTCTGCAACTTGCATCCAGTCCTTATGAGGTCCTGATGGATCTTACTTCTCCCAGTTGTCATCATTATCATCACCGTTTAAATCGCTACCTCCTTCCAGGGCTGCTGCTACAGCTTGCTTTCTCCTTGGCCTCACTGCAGCCAGAAGGCTCTGACACCCAGCTCTCATGGGTCACTCTTTAAACATCTATCACCCACATGACCAGGTCCCAGTTCTCTGCAGATGCACCCTGAGTGACCAGGGGCTTCCCCTCCATAGTGTCCATGAAGGCCACTCACTGCAGTCCATGACCAGGAAAAAGTGGGCCACGCTGCTAGGAAGTGCTGATGCAGGATTCCTAGGACCGTTTACAGCCTTTTGTGGCCCAACTTTAGCCTCCCTGATCCTGGATTCCTGTATGTGCCCCTTTCCACTTTAGTAAGCCCAGCCAGGTCCCACCGGATACCTTTAACATCTCTGCCTGGTGAACTCCTTCCTCTTCAACCTTCAAAACTCAGCCCTCATGTTACCTCCTCCATGGAGCCTTCCTCAGGCCCCTTGTCACTCAGCGCAGCTTCTCCTTCCAGGCTGCGTCAACAGACTCAGGACCTGGGCCTCAGCAGTGTCAAGCAGACTGGAAGGGCTGGACAGGCATGCGATGCTGGGTAAGCCACTGCCCCAGCCAGGTCTCAGGTTAGAAAATAGGGTTCCAGCAAGGTCCAAGTTGGAACCTGCTGATGCCATTCAGGGGGATGCCCAGGCTGCTGCAGAACAGCGGGGACTCGTTGGCTGGTGAGCAGAGAAGTGGTTTGAGGGCAGTGCCCTCTAGACATAGAACCAAGAAACTGCCACCCTGGAACTGTGCCCTTGCAAGATGTGGCCAGGTGGCTGAAAGAGTGCCAGGCTTGGGGGCATGATGACCACAGAAAGGAGAGTGGGGCTTCCCGGGAGACAGACTTCCCCGGACCCTTAGGCTCCGTCCTTCCCGTGGCCTGCATATTCACCTGACTTCTCCACTCCTGATATGAGCCCTGAGATGTGGTTTCAGTCCTGAGACCTGAGCAGGGCAGATGTGGAATGGAGCCACCTGCTTCCCAATGGAACCAAACAAATGCTTGTGGGAAAGAAGCCAAGGAATGGCCTACCCTCGGAGACCCCCTCATGTCAGCCCAACCTGGAGCCAGTGTTCAAGGGCCTGTGCTTCTAACCCATCTGGGGAACTTTGTGTGGCCCCTGTGAAAACACCCCCACCTCAGCATGTCTTGAATACATGTACAGACAGAAATACAGTGGCTTCTGAGCTGGGTGTGGCGGCACACATCTGTAATTTCAGCACTTAGGAGGCTGAGGCAGAAGAATCATGAGTTCGTGTCTCAAAAAAACAACAAAAAAATTTCTCCACAAAATATTTACAAACAGGGACAAGTGGGGGCACCTTTGCCACAAAATGAGTTGGGGAGTGGGAACAGTGCTACGATGCGCATGAGCGCTGGGAGAGATCCTGAGGAAGGCCCAGGGCTGGGGAGACCCAGGCGCCCAAAGGGCCCAGGCAGTTCCAACCAGGTCCGTGTCTGACTGAGGCTGGACCACATAGCCTCAGGCCAGGTCGGTGGTGGCTGAGCCCAGCTGCTTGGAGGCCAGGAGCAGGCGGGTGGCTGCGCTCTCTGACTCAGCCAGCAGCCTCTGGTTGTTGTGCCGCAGACTCCGTACCTCCTCCTCCAGGGCCGCCCTGTCTGCTTTCTCCTGGGGAAGGAGAATGGCATCAGCAGCTGCCCCTTTCCTGGAGCAGCCCTGGGACTCCTCGAGGGCCCCAGGCCACCTCCTCACCTTCTTCAGGTCCTCCTGCAGCTTCCTGAGCATAGCCTCCAGGTGCGAGACCTTCTCCGACAGGCTCCCAGGTTCTGGCCTGAGGGCATGGGAGTCAGAACCCATCGGGACCAGGGCAGGGGCAGCACCACAGGCTGGCCCCCAAAGGGCCCTGAATGAGGGCCCCATCCCCTGTGGTCTGAGACAGGTGTCTACGGATGCCGGGCTGGGGTGATGCTTAACTCCAGTGGATGGGGACCAAGGCTGGGTACACAGGCATGGAGAGGGTCAGGGCGCCTTACTCAGCATCAGACTTTGGAGTTCCCTTGGGGTCTCCGCTCTCTGGGATGGGCTGGCCTACGGGACAAAGGGACCATGAGGGCGGGTCTGAGAGGTAGCAGGAATCCCATCCTAGCTCTAGCTCTTCCCCCTGGGGCCCTGGTGGCCTCACCCTCCCGGGACAGTGACTCCAGAATGGTGTTGCAGGTGGAGGCGATCTCTGAGATGGACTGCCACTCGTCCTCCAGCGTCTCACTGCCAGCCTCCGACATGACTGTGGGCAGCAGTAGGCAGGCTCAGCAGGGGAAGCCCCAGGGACCCCTTTAGCACCCCTGGCTCCGCACTCACTCTTGCTGATGGAGTTCCGTAGGGACAAAGTCCGTGGCAGGAAGGAGGCCCTCAGTTCTGGGGCCGGGTTGCCCTTGTCTTTATGGCCACTGGGGCTGCCTGGCTGTTCCTGGGAGGCAGAAGTGAAATGCCAGTGCAGTGACATCCACTGTCACCTCTGTCCTGCTGAGCTCCAGAGCCTTGTTTCTGCTCACCTGGGAAGGTGGTGTCTCCCTGCCAGCACCAGCTGCTGCCGGCTTGGCCGTGGTGGCCAGGAGGAGGTCCGGGGTGGTATTGGGCAGGACTGGGGCCTCATCTGACAGGGAGCTGGGGAGAGCGGGGCTGGCTCAGGATCAGAAGTTGCTTTCCCAGGGCCCTGACCATCCAGGCCCCACTGAGCTGGCTGGGGAGGGAAGACCTAGAGGACGCACCTGTGGGGTGATGGTGGCGAGTTCTGGCTGTGCAGGAACTCAGTCCTCTCCTCCGCCAGATCCCCGGGCCCCGGAGGGCCGGCTCCATCTTGTAGGCACAGGTGCAGCAGCTGCTTTGTGATAGGCTGCAGGACCACCTCCAGGGTCTCCTCCTGCCCTGGCTCTGGGGCCCCCCGACGGCTGGGCTCTTGCAGAGACAGCTCGTACAGCTCCGAAAAGCTCCTGAGGGGGAAGGAGGGGCACTGTCAGGAAGGACTCCCCAACCCCAGTGTCCTGTGTCACAGGCGCCACCCCCAGCTGCTGTGGATTTGAGTTCTCCAGATGCCCTGACAACAGTGAAAAACATGAGCCTGGCTAGTTGCCATTTTTTTTTTAAAGACCCGGGTTCAAATCCCAGTGTTGTCCTATATATTCTGGACAAATGACTCTGAAAGGTGACCTCATAGCAAGCTGCGAGAGCTTAAGCAAGACATGGAATTAAATCACTTGGCATCCAGAATCTCTTCCTTGGAACAAAATCCAGCCTTTGTCTTTGTTTTAAGCATGTGTGCCTGTTTTTCTAACTTTCAAGCCAAGAATGTTTTTTAGATGTTTAAATAGTTGAAAGAAATATTCAACTGAATTATTTCATGACAAGTGAAAATTACAGACAGTCCATCCAGACAGCATGGTTTAATTTGCAATTTTTGGACCTTAACATATGTTTATCATTAGTAACCTGTTCATCAAGTGAGGAATGAATATATGTATATATGGATTGAACCAAGGCCTTCATGCTGAGCTACATCTCCAGTCCTATTTTTAATTTTTATTTATTTATTTTTTTTGAGACAGGGTTTCACTATGCAGTTCAGGCCGCCTCAAACTCACAGCAGTCCTCCTGCCTCAGCTTCCTGAGTGCTGGGAATACAACTGTGGGCCACCGAGCCCACTTAAATTTTTATTTTGAGACATGGTCTCATTAAGTTGATAAATTACCCAGGCTGGGCTCAAACTTGTGATCCTCCTACTTCAGCCTTCCAGAATGCAAGGATTACAAGCCTGCACCGCGATACCCAGCTGAGGAATCTCTATATTAAACCCAAATATTCCAGTGTCTATAAAATTTTAGTGAAATTCAACCACACTCAATTCATTTACCTACAGCAAGACTTGAGTAGCTGCAGGACAGATAAGGTAGAAGGCCTAAAATAACCACTGCCTGGCCCTTTACAGTTTGCCTATATATAGCTTAGCACAGTAAATAATCAATAGTATGTGTGTTAATATTTTAACAGTGAGGGTTAGCCCAGTGTGGTGACCCATGCCTGTAATCCCAATACTCCAGATGCTGAGGCTGGAGGACTGCTGTAAATTCGAGGCCAGCCTGGGCTACATAGTTGCAGGCCTGCCTGAACTACATAGCAAGACCCTGTCTCAAACAAAAACAAAAAAAGTGATGAAATTCTGAAAAGAGGAAAAGGCACCTACACGTGGATCTTGGGAGTTTACGGAAGGAGACTGGGGGAGGGGGGGGTTGCAAAGGGCAATCGCAGGGCTCTCCATTTCCCCAGTCCCCAGCGCCCTGACCTGCGGGGCCGGCCGCTCTCTTCCGGGGGCAAGACGGTGACGCAGACCTTGGGCGCAGAGCGCAGCAGCTGAGCAGTGGCCTCAGGGCCGAGGCTGGGCAGCGTCCGGCCGCACACGCGCAGCAGGCGCGCCCCAGGCCGCAGCCCGGCCTTCTCCGCGAAAGTGAAGCGCTCCACGTGCGTGATAAAGCCCTCGACGTCCACCTCAAAGCCGAGGCGACCCTGGCCGTCGCGGGGCGGTGCCAGCTCGCGGGTCTCGCAGCCTCTGCTCACCAACTGCGGAGCGGGGATGTGGGTGGGGCTTCTTGGGGTGGAGCCGGCCCCGCACCACTTTCTGGGCCCCTCTCTGACAGGACCAGCGACCCACCCGATAGCACCAGCGGTCGCCTGCCCGAGGCCCTGTGCCGGCTTGGTCAGCCCCCAAGGCTGGCTCGGCACCCCCACGCACACACTCGGTGCGCTTTTGCAGAGACGGTGGCTCCAGCGTGGGCTCCGCCCCCGGCGCACGAAGGGACTGGGACCCCTTCCTCCGCCCCGCCCCGCTCACCTGCAGGCGTGTGACCACCTCGCCCACCGCCTGGCCAGGGGCCCCGTCGAACCGCAGTGTGATCGCCTCCCCGCGACCGTGGTACAGGTCCAGCTGCTGCTCCGAGAAGGTCCAAGCCAGCACGTCGCGACAGGCGCAGTTGAAGACTACGCGGCCGTCGCGGGGCGCCACCAGCACCAGCGTCTCCGCCGAGATGCCCAGCAGACAAGGCACCTCGGCGCCCTCCGGGCCTCCCGCTTCGGCTCCGGCTGCGACCCTCGTCCCCTGTGCCGCACGCACGCCCCAGGTCAGCGCGCCCGCCGCCTGCAGCTCACAGCCCAGGCCCCGAGGGGTCGCCCGGCGCCTGCCGCCCAGGGAGGGCAGGCCAAAGCGCGAGGCCGAGTCCAGCGACGTGGTGGTCACCTCGTTGTTGGCCAGGTCCTGTAGGTACTGCTGGCGTGTGCGCGTGGCCATGGCGTGGAACTGGCGTGCGTGCCCCGCTGCCTGCTCACCATTGAGCGCCTTGGCCAGCAGGAAGGCCCGAAAGTCAGCGTTGGCCGCGAAGGGGCCTCCTCCGGGGGGCAGGGCTGGCCCGAAGGCTGGAGTGTCCTGAGTGCGGCTGATGGCCACCCTGCGCGGAGGAAGGCTGCATGAGGGACGGCAGGGCAGGTCCAGGGCTCGGTGCCCAGGGGAAACCTAAGGGCCCCCGGCCCCTACCTATAGGAGGTGTGCGGGGTGCAGGGCGCATGCGCCCTCACCACTATGAATACATGCTGGAAGTGGGAGCGGATGGTGGTGGGGCAGAAAGGCTTGCTGCCAGGCTCCTGGAACACGATGGTCACAATGTCATTGCCGATGTGCCGCTTCCTCAGGAGCTGAGGATTAGGTGGTGAGGGGTGTTAGAGGGGCTGCATGATCCCCTGAAACCCTCCTCATTTGGACAAGGGAAAGCCCTGAGATGTTTGTCTTTGGGAAGCTGCCACCAGCTTGTCGGAGTCAGCAGATTTCGGGCCAGCGTTTGAAGATTGCCACCCTCACAGCACCCTCCAGGGGTCCCCAGAAACCCCTGGCCACTCCCCAGCCCCGTCCCAGACCCCTCACACCTGCTGCTGGTTATTAGGGGTGTAAGGCAGCATCGTGGAGACGTGGAACATGATCTCGTGGTCCTGGTACGTGGTGTAGAGGGAGTGTGTGCCTGTGGAATCCGCTGTGGCCAGGGAGTTGGAGACACAGAGAGACAGCAAAGGGAATCTGAGTGACTTGAATCTCCTGTCCCTGTTCCTACTCAGGAGCCTCCATGCCCCAGCCAGCAGGTTGACGACACCTTCACGCTACCAGGCAAGGCCCAGGCCACCAAGTCCAAGGGCCTCGGCCTTGGCTGTGCCCCCTTCCCCAAAGGCCGTGGCCTCATGCCAGGGAGAAGGCAGGTAGGTGGAGAGAGAGAGAAAGGGGCTCAGAGGGGGGCAGGAGGCGGGTGTCCCAGGCGAGGATGGGTGCCGGCACGAGCATGTAGGGCATATTGGCGAGCGGAAGGCAGCCAGGTACTCTGGGGCCTAACAGCCAGGGAGGCTGGGCGCCTGCCCAGAGGCCAGGCTTCTGAAATGTGTCAGAGGGAGGGGGCTGTGCCCTTAAACCCCCTGGCTGCAGCTCTGGTAGTAGGATACCAGGTTCTTGGGCGGACAGTCCCAGCCTCTCCTCCCAGCCCAGCAGCTGGCAACCTACCCAAAGAACTCTCTAGCACTCAGCCCCAGCCTCTGGCCAGTATAGACAAAGGAGTGTCAAGGTGGTTAGTCTGCCCCTCACATGGTACTGCCCCTGCCCCTCCAGTGCCCTGCACCTCACTTTTGGTGTCCAGCTGTGCCCGGTAGCTGTCAAAGCCTTTGAGCCGCACCACGTCACCCAGCAAGGTGAGGAACTGCATGAAGGCCGCGCCCGCCTCCTGGTTGTTGTACATCTCCTCCTCCGAGCCCTGGCCGGAGCGACAGTACAGGATGCCCACCTTGCGCTGGAAGCTCAGCTGGGGGAAGGACAGCAGACATCTTAGGCCTCAGCCTCCCCCAGCCCCACCTCTACCGCACCATGGGGAAATGGTCAGGACACTGGCCAGTGGGTAGGCTGCCTCAGTATGTCGCTTGAGCCCTGGCCCTCTCTGAGCCACCATGGTATCCATGACATGGGTACAGTCTGCCCTGCTCCTAGTGCTCAGGAGCGCTGGGGAGGTCACACGTGGGAAGGGATGGGAGGAGGTTGGTTCTCCAGGTGATTCATAGAAAGGACCCGGCACGCAGTACACTTGGTCTCAATAAATGTCCATACTGGCATCAACTCAAGGCTATACTGTCATCCCCCCTTCAAATTCTAGATGCCCCCATCCCACCTCCTGAGATCTTGAGCCCTCTCTGCCCCTCCCCTGCTCCCATTTCCACATGCTGCTCCAGCCCCTTCCCTGCTGCACACGACCCTGCACAGTTCAAGGCATTCTGATGCCATTAAAGCAACCCATGGTCCCCCCACCTCCCGCGTTCAGAAGCTCAGCAGTAGCGCACCTGGCTAGCATGCCTGAGACCCTGGGTTCCATTCCCCGCACCACAAAATACATAAATTTATGACAGGGGTGGTGGTGCATGCCTGTAATCCCAGTACTCTGGTAAACCGAGGCAGGAAGATCCAAAGTTTGAGTCCTGTTTGCTAACTCAGCAAGACTCTGTGTAAAAAAAAAAAAAAAAAGCCAAGGACATAACTCAGTGCAAAGGCCCACGGTTCACTTCTCTCTGTACCACAAAAAACAATAACAAACAAACCTGACCACACGACAGCTCATGGGTGCTGCCTCATCTTGATAGCCTCTTGGCCGCAGCTGGCACTGTGATAACTGGAACCTCACCTTGCCTGGACCTCTTCTCCACCTAAGCTTGTCCCCTCAGTGGCTGCAGCAGACACTTCTAGGGGACAACACTCCCTCTCTGCCTGCGGCCCAGACCCTTCTCCCAAACTCCAGGCCCAATTCCCCAACTGCCCGGGTGCCCCTCCAGCAGCGGAGCACTCCCCTCCTTGCTGGGCTTCCCTGCCCACCCTCAACCTCCTCCAAGGTCCCTGGCCCCATAAAAACACCACTTCCCTGGGCCAAAAACTGAGGGACTCTCAGCCATCCTGTGTTTCGGTCACTCACAAGGGATATCCATTCTACCCCTGGACGGTCACCTCTTTGTCACCATGTCTAGCCAGGACAACAGCAACAGCCTTCAGTCCGGTCTCTCCCCTCCAGCCTAGTCCTCACGCTGGAGTCAGATGTGCTCTGAATCTTTCCATGTCTCCCCGGTGCCCGTGGGACCAAAAGCAGGCCTCTCCCTGTCCCCCTCCACCCACTCTGAAGTGCACGTGACCCCGTCGCCTCTAGACCATTACACCAGCTGCAGCTGCAGCCAGAAAGCCTTGCTCAACCGTGTCTACCCAGAAAACACACTCTCATCCTGGCTTAAGCTCTTGCATTTCCTCCGCAGGGTGAAACCTTCACCCAAGAAGGGCTGTCGGCACCACCTCTGGGCCCTACAGAGCCCTTCACATCCCCTTTCTCTGATCTCCTGCTCCTGTTTCCATGGTTCTCCATGGATTCCTGTCCTGTGCCCAGCTGTGAGGCACTCTAGGAAAGCACTGATCTGGACCTATCCCCAGCATCCAGCTAAGGCCCTGACACCAAGAAGATATGAGACATGTTTGTTGAATGACTGATGGATTGAATGCCACAGAGGAGAGTCAAAGGCAGTGGGCAACTTTGGGAAAGAGTGAGCACCACACATTGAGGAGAGACTAAGTAGGGCCTGTGAAGCAAACTGGTCAGGAACAAGGGAACTGCAGGAGAAATGGCTTCAGCCAGACCAGGGACTCGGGGTTGTGAGCTATATGGCACCACAGTAGGGATCTTTAAAGTGCAGCTTTGACTCAGTCAGTGGGCTGGAGCCTCAGCATGTGCATTTCTAGCGGGCCCTCAGATGCTGCGGCTTCCAGACCTTGCTTCTGATGCTCATCCTGAAACACAGGGAGCCCTGCTCTCCGAGGCCACTGCCCTGGCCAGCATCAGGTCAAGTCTGGGATCCTGGGTGCTGCCAGGCTGAGTTCACACCTCCCTTCCCTCCTGGCCACTCACCACTTGTTCGTCCAGCGTAAGCAGCGTGCGTGGCACCTTGGGGGATGCTGAGCCCAGACGCAGGCATGATGGGCTCAGCCTGGGCGCCACGTATTCCAGAAGCTTCCTTGGGGACAGGCCACGGGGGGGCCCTGGGGGCAATGCGTCCTCTGAAATGGTGCCACGGAGGGTCCGGAGCTGAGGAAGAGGTGGAGTGGTACTTAGGGTCCATATGGTGTTGAGGAGGGAACCCATGGCCTCAACCCGAGACCCTGGCCCACCTGTGTGGTCCGCACGATGACACGGTAGCTGTGCAAGGTACCCCCTCCGCTGCCCTCCTTCTCCTCCCGCTGCAGGCTCACTGCCACTGGGCCCAGCTGCTCATCTACCCCAAAGAAGTTCTGATGCTCTGGGGAGAAGGAGGTGGCTCTCACCCTCAGGAACCCACCACCAAGTCTGTCCCTCAGCCCATCTCACCCAGTAGGGACCCAGCTAAGTCCTACCCTCTGCGGCCCCACCCCATCACACCTTGCCCCGGGCCAAGAAGGCCAATATGGCTGCTGTCAAGCTTACATGTGGCCCAACCCTGCCTGTGTACTCATAGTTTCCATTCCAAGGCCCCAGGCCCTTTTTTCACTGTGAGGGTGAGAACAAGATTTCTGAGTACAGGGCTTTCGGGCCTGAGTTTTCACCTCTAGACAGGAAATCTTCTATGAGGATAAGCCCGAAGGCGGCAGGACGCCCAGCCCTGGCTGGGGGGAACAGCCAGGGCTTGACCTTTAAGAGGCGGTGAGAGGTGGGCCCAGCAGCACCCTGGCTCAGCTCCTTCCTATAGCTGGGGACCTTACAGGAAAAGCACAGTTCATGTGCTCTGCTGTGTGCCCCACAGGTGATAAGGACCTCTGCCCCAGACCCCTTCCTGCCTCTCCCTGGGCCTGCCTGCCCCTCACCTTTGCCGTAGAAGTACTTGCGGTAGTAGCCAGCACCCAGATCTGCGTGCTCCAGGCTGTACGCTGTGGTCCGGCTCTGTGGCTCTTCCAGGACGGACACGGCCGCATTGGGAAGTGCAGGGGGCATAGGCGGGGACATTGGTCCCCCCAGGCCTAGCTCACCTTCACCCCCGAGCTCACTCACAAAGCCAGGTGCCCCAAGCAGCAGATCTGAGCTGACAGCATGGTCCTCAGCTGAGGCCGGAGTCGCAGAGCTGGTGTCCATGTGTCCCCGTGTCCCCCGTGGTTGTGGAGCCCAATCAAAGAGCAGGCTCTGCACATCATAGTGAGCAAACCACCGGGGCTCCAGCACTGGCGGGAAGGTGGGCTCCGGCTCCTCAGCAGGTAGCCCCAGCAAAGCCAGAGGGTCGGTGAAGAGTCGAGCAGGGGCTGCAGCAGGACGGCTGGCATCCTCATGGCTGTGGGCTCTGGCTCGAGGACTGGCTGGGGTGGGGGGCCGGGCCTCCCCTGCATCACTGCCACTGCGCAGGAGTGGGCTCCGGGCCGGCCTTGGCTCAAAGGTGTGTGGTGTCAGTGGGGGCCGGGCTGGCTGGCGCAGCTTGCGGGCGAAGAGGTCATCGGTGGGCGCAGGGGCCATGCCCCGCCGCGGGCTCCCCACACCACCAGCCCACATGGGCATGTTCTGTGGGCCTGGCTCTCTGGAGCCCAGGCCGCATTGGCAGACGCGGGTGTTTGGTGACCAGCCAGCAGGCTGAGGTTGTGGCAGTGGTTCCTGCCCTGAAGGAGGAGGGGGCTGCTCAGAGGGACCTGAGGAGAAAACAGGAACCCAGGCCCCCAGCCTGGTCCTCCACCACCCCGGTTGGCTTCCGGCCCCCTCTGAGACCATCAAAGCTGCTTCCGCTTTCCTGGCCACTTCCTTGTCTGCCTAGGGCTGAGGTTTCCAGCCCCCTCCCCGGCTTGGTTTCAGCAGGGTCAGGGCCTGGATATGGGGCTTTGGCCCTAAAGGTCCTAGAGCCTGGGAAACCCTGCTCCTGCCAGGGTTCCCCAGTTCCCATTCCGACACCTTGGGTGTGGTCTTGGGCCCAGAGTGAGGGTCTCCACCAAAGCCTGGCCCAGTCACGCAGATAATTCTTTTTGGCTGGGACGGGAAACCTCTGGGACTACTGTTGTCTGGGTCCTGCCCAATTGACAAAGGGAGGACGTCCTGTCCCCAGAGACCTTCCTCCCTGCACTTCCTACTTCCTCCTGGGTCCCAGAGGAGCTGAGCACCCAGAGGCCTGCTGGCAACGCCCTGGGCTCCTACAGCTCCAATGCCACAAGCACACAGGGGCTGTCAGAAGCGGGTGCAGGGCAGTAGGAATGGAAAGACTTCCTTCAACACAGGAAATGGCCCCAGCTCGGCCCAGCCCCCAGCCTAGCCCCCACATCCTGAGACAGATGCTGGGGTCACACCAACCAGTCATGGGACCCAAGTCACCTGAGGCCTGAGGCCAAACCTGGGCCCACCCACTTGCAGGTTACTAAGCCAAGTCTGGGGAAGAGAGGGAGCTACGCTGCCTGGCTTCCTTTGCTGGAACTGGGACCCATGGGGACCTCTGTCTACCTGGTCTCACTGGTGCAAAGACTTCTGAACCCCTGTGACAGAAGGTCAAACTGAGGTCCTAAAAGGTGATGCGTTTGGCTGAAGCAATTCCATGTTAGAGGTAGGCTCTGAACGTGGGCCCATCAATCTCCAGAGCCTTTACAGAACTGCAACTGCTCGCTCACTCCTGTCCCTGGCTCCCTTGTGAGCGGAGGTGTGGGGGCGGCAGGGGATGGGCTGAGGTTCATGGTCTCACAGGATGTAAGACTCAGACACCCAAGGCCCCAGGGACCTGCTGAGTGCACAAATATGGCCAGACCAGGCGCAGGTGTAAAAGGTGGTGTGAGAACATGAGGGAGAACTACCCCAGGTGACCTGTGATAGAGGTAGCAGCTAGGGCAGGGGTGTGGGAACCATTACTGGGGGTGCAGGAAGCTACTGGTGGGTCTTGGCACATAGTGTGGGAGGAGGGGCTCCACACAGCCCTCAGCTGCGGTCAGGAACCAAACAAGGACGTGCCTCCAACGCTCAGGGGCCTCCTATATCGGTTTCTCCTAGGAGGAGGTCTCATGTTGACCTTGAGCCTCTGTTTTCTCATCGCTAAAAGGGGGTTAATTACCCCAGTCCCCTCCCAGGGCTGCTGGGAGACTGAAGCTGGCCATCTATGTGCACGGGAGACATGGGGCCCTGTGCCATGCTCTAGGCTCACTCAGGCGACTCAGGGCTGGGCTGGGGTGTGGGGGTGAGAGAGGGCAGGAGGGAGGGATCTGTGCGGACCCTGGTCCACGTGGGCTAAGCTCTGTATATGCGTGAACGCGTGCCTCTGGCCCAGTGCCTGGCTCTGCCCTGCCTTAGGGAGGTGTTCTTAGGCTCTGCCCCCCATTCCACAGCTTCACACAGGGTCCATTGAGGCCGGGACATTCCTTGCAGCCTATGTCACTGAGGGGGAAGGGGCAGCCCCGCCCCCATAGATCCGGAAGGCCTGGCTGCCCCAAGAGGAGGCGCTGGACGCTTCCCAACACATCTGGAGGTCATGACCCCATTTCTGCTGCCAGGGGGCGCGACAGATGTTTCCTCCTACTCCAGGCCTGAGGCTCGGGGACAGTGTGCAGAGGCTGGGGAGGAGGCGCCCGGGAAGAGGAACCCAGAATAGGGGGAGCCCAGGCACTGGGCAGCAGGGGTAATTGCGGGAGCTGCTGAGAGCAACTGGGAGCCACTGAGTCCACTCACTGGCTCCCGGGCCGGGGTGAGGCCATCACGCAGAGGGAGTGGTAGCCTTCGGCTGGAGGCAGAGAACTGGTCACGCTGACTCCGGGCTGAGCTGGGGCCAGAGGAGACTGGAGTGCGCAGGCAAAGGCGCCAAGAAGTTCGTGCTGCCACCCACAGCCCACGGCCAGGCCACCTTATACCATGTCTGGCCGACCCTGGTGCCTCCCGTCCCCGGCTCCCGCCAGTACCTCCGGGGCTCCTGCCCAGCAGCCGCCTCCAGCGCCGGTCCCGCTGCCTGTTCTCGGCCACCACTCTGGGCGCCGGCTCCGCCTGGGGCGGGACCAAGCAGGGGGCGGGGCCAGGCAGGGGCAGGGCCGGCTCGGAGCCGGCCGCGGCGGGAAGCGAGCAGGCGGGAACTCCGGGTCTGGCTGGCAGTGGTCAGTCCGGACTAGCTGTCCGGGCTTCAGCCGCTCCTCTGACTCAGCCTGCATCCACGCCGAGTAATGGGAACAAGCGTACCTGCCTTCCAGACAAACCAGCAGGGCTAGCGGAGGCCACCTAGTGTCCGGTTCCTGCCTGGCACACATCAGGTGCCAGTACTCAGGACTGTTTCATGAACACTCCTTAAACACTGGGCCCTGGGCAACAGCTCTACACGCTTTTTTTTTTTTTAAACTGGGAATTAAACCCAGGGCCCTCACACTGATGTACAGACAGGGTCTTGCGAAGTCACTAAGTTGCCCAGACTGGGCTGCAACTTAAGATCCTCCTGCCTCAGTCTTCCAGAGTGTTGGGGTTATAGGCATGTGTCACTGAAACCTGCAATAAGAGACCTAACATGGGGCACCAACCTCATTCATTCCTAGAACACCCCACATAGGTGTCACTGCCTCTTTAAGGCTTGGACCAACTGAGGTTCAGAGAAAGGTTATGGCCAAGACCAAGGCTGATAAACAGGTGTCCCTAGGGCTGGAAACTCTGAACCAGTGGTGGCAAACCTATGGCACTTGTGCCGCCATGGGCTGTTTGCACCACTGAGAGTTCTAGAAGGGTTCTGAACTATACACAGAGGAGTGGGAAACAACGCTACCACCGTCACATCAAGTTCTTCTTTTTGGTACCAGGAATCGAACTCATGACCTCACACTTGCCAGGCAGCCACTGTGCCACTGAGCACTGAGCTATAAGCCTGGCCCCACATCAAGTCTTGACAAGAGAACAGGCTTGTCAGGAAGGGATCTTCCATTGGCCTGACCTCTGTCCCACATCCTTCAACCCCACCACAACCCCATGCTCACCCATGCTGACTTGGCCACCTCTACTACCCTGTAACTCCCAGACAGAAGAAGCAACTGCCAACCAAAATCAAAAATAGTGTTATTAATTCTGGTGTTTTTGAAGCACAAAAAAAAAAAAAAAAAAAAAAAGAAAGAAAACAAAACAAAATAAAAAGAAAGGAAGAAAAAGAAACAACCCTCACCACATTTCAAGCCCCAGGTCCAGGCCTGGGGACCAGCTCTGCCAGCAGTGCAGACCCAGGGGCTGAGTCAGTCCTGGCCACAGGCTCAAAGCGGGACCAGCCCATGGGTTTGGCTCTTAGGACCTGGCTAGGAGGCTGCCTGCCTCACTTTGGGGCACTCAGGCCATGTATTAGGGGTGAGAGATCTGGGGTCAAGATCAGATGTCTGGGCCATTCAGTTCTGGTACTCTGGCTGAGGCAGCCGGAGGTCAGGGTTCAGACAAGGAAGCCAAAGCCACTCAGGTCCATGATCCAACAGAGGGCCAGAGGCAACACCGAAGGGGTCCAAGTTACTGATCCTAGGATGGAATCCAGTGGGCACCAGCCACTCAGTACTGGTGCTCCAACAAGGGCTGGGCAGCTGGGCTCTCTCGCTCCTCCACAGGGACAGGCCAGTCACCAGGAGCCCCAGTAGGTGTGCCACTCTCGGCAGCACTGCTGTCCAAGCAAGGAATGTCCTGGGCTGCTCTGGGGGGTGATGCCTCGGAGCTGACATCGGGGCTGAGGCTGAGGTCTAGAGGCGCCTGAGGAGGACAGACAGGTTGGCAGGCAAGCAGTCCTGGGCCTCCTGGGACCCAACCTTCCCACAGGTGCCTTACCTGAGATTTAGGGGTGCCTCCTTTGGGGCTCCCTGAGGCTGGCTCTCCATCAGATCCTCCCAACCCCTTTCGACCCCCTAGACTCCACTTCCCACTGGGCCCCTCAGAACTGAGAAGACCAGGGCCAGGGGTCCGGGAGGGCCGAGGACCCTCGGTGGGAGCAGGTGAGGCAGGGGGTGGTCCTGGGAGCCGAGGGGGAGGCCACTGCAGCAGTGGAGGGGGCCGTCCGTCACCAGAGCTGCTCAGGGAGGGTCGTGGCCCCCAGCCAGGGCCTGGTGGGAGAGGCTGGTCGCCACTGCCTGTGAAAGACAGATAAGAGAGCAGAGACCTCAGCTGGGCTGCTGTCCGCCCCATGAAGTCGGCCCTGCCCCACCCGCTCACCTGCTGTGTTCTCAGGCATGGCGTGTGCCAAGGAGGGGTTATTGCTGAGGGAGGTCAGGCCGCCGCCCCCACCGCAGTCCGAGTCATCCACATTCCCACCACTATTGCAGCCAGCGCCACAGCCCTTATGAAGCCTGGGGTGAGGGGGTGGAGAAGGGGTGCAGGTGGGGAGGCAAGGCTGGGACTTGTGAGGAACACCAGTCCTCAGGACAAGGCACCCAACATCTTGGAGATCCAGGGTCCTCATCTCTAAGAGATTTTGCCATCAACTGTGCTTGAAGACCAAAGGCCACTGTCAGCTCCGGGGAAGAGGAGACACCTCTGGGGGCAGTCAGCTCTGGGAGGGACTCATGTCTCAGGGTTCGAGGTCAGGGTCCAGCACTTCTTCACTGAGGGCCGGGAGGGCACCGTTTCCTGTCTCTGCACCCCTGCGACCCCCTCTGGGAGCCCAGGACACCTTGATGGGGCCTCACAGCGGGGAGTGGCAGTCAGGGCTCACCTCTCCCAGCTGTGCAGGAGCCAGCGGGCAATGGCGCCCAGGCTGATGGGGCCGCCCCACAGCGCCCGCAGCTGGGGGTGGCTGCCGGCCAGTGAGGTGGTAAGTGGTGACACGTAGATGGGGTAGCCCAGAGGCTGGTCACAAGAGGAGTTGATCATGTTGCGGAGTGCCTGCTTGGCATTCTGGATGCTGCCACGCTCGGGGTTGCGGTTGCGAAGGAACACCAGCTCCTGCTGCTGCCCAGCCCACAGGCCGCGCACACACTCCCGATTCACCTGCCATGGGTCACACTGTGGTCAGTGGCCAACACCGGGAAGCGGGGATGGGACGGTGGGCGGGATGGGGCCTTCCCCACCTTGATGACACGGAAGCTGAGGTGGCGCCGGTTGAGCATGATGACCTTGTACTCGTCAGAGGCATCATCCATGACATGCCGTAGCGCCAACAGTGAGGGCGTGTTGCTGAGGATGGCACTCCGCCAGGCTGGGTCACCTTCATGCGAGATGACAAGCCGTTCCTCGTTGGCTGCGATGGCATCATACAGGGCTGCTGGTTCCTCATATTCATCTGGGGACGTGAAGTGGTCCTGGGGGGGGGGGGGCGGAGGATGGGGTCAGGGGCCCCTGCCCCGAGGAAAGGCTTCACGCCCACCTGTGCACAATGCCCAGTGCCAGACGCACCACTCCCTACCTGGTGAAGCTTGAGGGCCATGCGAACCCCAGGTGCCACTACACGGTGCAACAGGTCCATGTCAGCAAAGACCCACTCATCACGTGGGGACGTAATGCGGAAGTCCCCCTTGAAGAGGGCGTGCAGGCCGTAGAGGAAGGGCTCCAGGCTGGGCAGGAGGAGGAACAGGGCAGTGATCGAGGACAAGGAGCCAGGACTCTCAGGTTTCTGAGGAGCTGAGACCCTCCCTCATGCTGGCCCCAGTCTCCTCATCATGCCAAGGGGCCCGTGTCCCTCAGAGGAGTGAGGAACGTGCAGAGTCAGGATGGGGAAAGGCCTTTTCCATGTGGACAAACCACACTGCCAGAAGTACCAAGTGGATTTCCAGACACACACAGCTCTTCGTGGGAGGGGAGCAGCAGGGGGGTGAGGAGCATACCCCCAGCCGGATGTGGGCACTCACCTGGCAGACATGCTGTGTGAGGCTGTCCCCAGGGCCCGGCGGCCCAGCACACACAGGCCAAAACACAGCGTGACCAGTGGCGAGTTCCAATCTTGGTCCACGGGCTGTGGCACAAGGACCCCCATCCCCAGAGCCCAGTTCAGACCTGGGACTGGGAACCTGGGGTGGGACCATGAAAGGGCCAGGCCATGAAAGTCTCAGGATTAGGGGAAGGGGAGAAGAAAATAAGCCCAGGTCCCTAGAACCCTGGTAGGGTAGCCCTAGGGTAGTGGTGACCCAACCTGGCTGCGCCGAGAGGCACAGTACTGGATCCACTCAAGGTGCACGGCACAGAAGGAAGGCAACGAGAGGCCAGAGAGGCGAAGGTCGTAGTCCTCATCCACGCTCAGGGAGAAGGTAGGGTCTGAGTCAGCATAGCCAGGGGCCCGCACAGGGCGCAGGGCAGCCGTGATGCCTTCGTGGTTCAGCCAGGCCTCCAGTTTTGGGGAGCGACTCACATAGTAGATGATGCTCTGGGGGAGGAGTGGTAGAGATCAGGTACAGGGAACGAGCCTGCCCCAGCCCTTGGCACCTGGGCAGAAGGCGAGGTGTCCCAACCTAAGGAGACCTGTGACACCCACCTCCTGCAGCCCATTTGAGCTCCCCAAGGCCACACGGGCAAGGGGACTTCCCTCTCCTGGAACAGGGAGGAGGCATGAGGAAGCCAACAGGAAGGGCCCCCACTTACAGAGCAGCCCTGGAGGGTCCTGAACCTTCAGTTGGCAGGTGCTTACAGGTAGCATCTGCTTGCTTCCTCCTGATGGCCTGAGAATCTACCCCATTTATAAGGGAAACTGAGGCTCAGATGACAGCCCTGCCTGACATCACACCGCAGGCCAAACTGACCTGAAGATGCAGTGGGGGATCCAGCTCTCAGGGCCTGAAAAGTTAGGCTGAGGTAGTGGGGCAGCCTAAAGGTCAGGGGTCCTAAATGCTCTTTAGGCAGTTGCAGGTGACAATCTGAACAAAGCCAGTAGCAAACACCTTGTACCCAAAGCTGTGGGCTCCTGCATCCCTTGTTAAGAGGCCACTGCCCTCTAAGCAGAGGTTGGGCAAATGGAGAGGGGCTTTTTGGAAGGGAGACTGCTGGCACAGCTAGGATAAAGCACAGAGCGAGGCTGGCAGCCTGGGAGGTTACAGGGATCCACATGCTACCCTGAGACAAGCAGATGCACTCCGACTGGGTGCAGGATGGGAAAGTCTATACTGGGGAGGGAGGGAGGGTGTAGCTGGCCAAAAACTCGCCATACAGAGGCATGAGTTCCAGCGCAGCTTGGGCAATCTAGTGATTTATTTGTTTTTGTTTTTGTTTTTTTTTGGAGACAAGGTCCCGCTATGCAGTTCAGGCTAACCTCGAACTTGTGGCAACTTTCCTGCTTCAGCCTCCCAAGTGCTAAGATTATAGGCGTGCACCACCATGCCCGGCCAATTTAATGACTTAGAGAGACCCTGTCTCAAAGTATTTTTCTTAAAAAGGGCTGGAAATGCAGCTCAGGGTGAGGATCCTAGGTTTAACCCCAAGTTACAAAACATAGAGGAAAATAAAGCCTGGGGAGGCTGTATCCTAGCACTATCCCACCCTCCTGCACACCTTGTGGGCTTCCTGCACAGCGGCCTTCAGGTCCCAGATGCCCTAGACCTTCCAGGCTTCACCCTGCACTCCACCATTTTTTTTCAGACAGGGTCTCAGGATATAGTCCAGGCCAGGCTTCAAGCCCCTGTGTAACTGAGGTTAAACTTGAACTTGTAATTCTCCTGCTTGCTGGATTAGAGGCATGTGCCACCACATCAGGCTTCCACGCATTTTAGCAGAGCTTCTCAAGGCCTCCAGACACCTCCGGCCAGCCTTTGGGCTGCAGGTAGATGGCCTCTGCAGGGCTGGGTACACTGTAGCCTGCTAGCCCAGGGAGGGTACCGTGAGCAGAAACCCACATGTGGCTTTGAGTGGGTTTTGTGTGAGGCAGCAGGTGACCTGGACAAGGCCACCAATCGAGAGATGGGACAGGAAGATGGACAGAACCTTGACCCCTAGACCTGTGACTGTTCCTATCTGGACTGTGGCTTCCTTGTCCATGAAAGTGGCAGGGAACCTCACAAACTCTTCCAAAGAGCAGAAGGACAGAAGGAATGACAGAAATTCTCCAGTGTGTGACAGACAAGATGCCCGTGGTGGGTGCAAAGGGACAGCAGGGATGCAAGGCCTGTGTCAGAGGTTAGCCTCAGGAGGGCAGGGTCACCTGGGCCCCAAAAGGTCACCCCGCCAGGCCCCACAGGGAGCTCCAAAGTTCCCTATAGGCAAGCAGGGGCCTCGCTAGTGACCACTGACCCACCCAATTCCCAGTGCCTTATCTAACCACAAAGCCACATCACTCACAGACACGCAGTTTCACCATTTCCTTAAGAGGTAAACTGAGGCATGGTAAAGGTGGCAGTATTTCAGACTGCTGAGAACCCCTAAAGCCCCCAGTTCAGAGTTCCTTCTATATCTACACTGTGTTTCACCAACCCCTACCAATCCTACCAGGTCTCAAGACCCTCAGGCCTGGCTTCAAAACCTGGCACTGGCATTCTCCCCTAATCTGGAGCCTCCCGGCTATCACTTCACCTCTGCTAGCCAACTTCCACACCAGGGGGCTTCAGAGGTCTGGGAGGGTGCAGCAAAGGCTATCTGCTCAGGAGGGGTGCCTGGCACGGACCCTGTCCCTCTGTAGGCAGCACCACTTGGTAGCCCCATGAGCAGCATTGGGATCACCATCACAGCTGGGTGGGCTATGGGGCTCACAGTCTCAAAGGCTGACCTCAGCATGGCCCATCAGCCCAGCACCTTGGTAAGGAGATCCACGCATGTGTTGCCCACCTGGCCACATATCCACTGCCCAAGACCAGCCGTCTGGAGGGACAATAGGAAGCTCCTGCCTAGACATCCTGTCAGAGACATGGGGACTTCTGAAGCTGGCTATCGGGCAGCAGCACTGTGCAGGATGCTTAAACTCTGAGGCCTCTGCCTCCCTTAGTCCAAATAAGCTCCCAACACTCCAGCATACAGGACACACAGGACACTCAGGTTGGTAAGTGTCTCAAGCAGGGACCCAGCTGTCCCACTGTGTGCCCCACCCACCGTACCTTGACATAATAGGTGATGAGGATCTTGCGGAGGTCAAAGACCTGCAGCATGGAGGCGGCGTTGTTGTCACTGATGCTGTAACCCTCCAGAACGTACTTACTGGCTGTCACCTCCCAGGCCAGCCAGCGCTGCCCGAAGGCAGCGTTGAAGGACAGAACGCGTGGCAGGTGGCCAGGCTCACAGCAGCAGCAGCCCTCGTCCTCCTCCACCCCTTCAGTGATGGCCTCCACCTCACGCTGCTGGCAGTATGTACCTGCAGGGGAGGGCGCCTGGTCAGTGGCCACTGAGACAAGCCCTGCCTGTCTCCTGCCACCTCGGGCCTACATGACATTCAAGGCCTGCTGCTATTCCCCTCCAGCACAGGAGTGAAGGTTTCTGCACAAATGATTAACAGGTGAGCCCCTCTCCTCTCCTGACTCCCAGCAGCCAGGTAGGGAGGAAGTGGGGAAGACAGGGGTCTGGTCCCTCATTCATATACATAAACACAAATTCAGAGGAAAAGCAATTTGCTTAAGGTGGTGGCACTCACGACTTCTGCTTAGAACCCATTTTTGTTTTGTTTTGTTTTGTTTTTGTTTTTTGAGACAAGGTCTCTAACTGTGTAGTTCAGGCTGTCCTGGAACTCACTTTGTAGCTCAGGCTGGCCTTGAACTTGTGGTGAGTGGTGATCCTCCTGCCTCAGCCTCCCAAGTACTGGAATTCCAGGCATGCGCGACCACACCCGCCACCCCCCTGCACCTTTGGGGCCTCCTCTGAAGCTGACATCCAACACAGGCATCAAGAGCAAAGAGCTGGGTCACTGACCAGGGCTGCACATGGTGCTGACTGAGCCCTGGTCTGAGACAACAGATGGCTGAACAAGCTGGCAGGAGCCAGAGCTCCAGGCCCAGCTTTCATCACAGAAGTCTGGTCAGTCACCATGAATCCAAAACCAGGGCACAAACAAGGCCTGGCCAGAAGAGGCTCCACCACCTCACAGCTATGAGCAGACGCCATCCACAGCAACCCCACTGGAAAGCCTAGGCTGGGGAGGTGAAGTGCCTTGCATGAGATTACCCAGCCAGTGGGGCCACGCCAAACAGGAATGTAGCCCCCATGCACTATCAAATGCAGTGCCCGCCCCAAGCCCTGGCTCACCCCGGAACTCAAGGCCACGCAGCTGGAAGGTGACAAGGCCATTGCCAACCTCGATAAGGTGCACCAGCGCATTGAGGTAGTCAGAGGCCAGGACAAAACAGTCGCCAGGGCCGTAGTTGCCCCAGCGGCCCAGCACCAGGTCCCCACACAGCGTGTGCTGCAGTGAGCGCGTCAAGTGCTCGTAGAAGATGGAGTTAAGGTTGTTGTCATCAGCTCCTGGAACCCAGAGCAGAAAGACAAAGGGATGAAATGACAGGAAGACAGGCTCCCTGGCAGGCCTGACAGCGGGGTACACACCAGGGTTCCGGTCCAGCTGTGTCACCAGGCGGGTGTTGGAATGATCCACACGTCTAGTGCTGCAAGAGAAGCAGGGTATCAGCAGAGGGTGACGCTCACTGGGGACAACTTCCTCCTGCCTGCCCATCTGCATGTCCCCTCCATCCAGGAATCACTGGGTACCCTCTGAGCCCACACCCCCAAGCTACGCGTGGGTGTCACCCTGGGCACCCCACTGAGACTGTCAGAGCAGAGAAAACTAAGGCTCAGGGACACAAGGAACTCACCCAGCATCACCCATTTACACCCTCACACCCAGACCCAGTGGCAGGCTCTGCCCTCATCAGTCCACCGCCGCAAGTGTCCCCATGGTGCCCACGCACCCTCTCACATTCCAGCCTTGGAGTCCAGCCTGAACTCCAAGCCCCTCCCTCCTTCCTCCCCAGGAACCCGTGACACCTGCTTTCTCCTGTGACACTCACTTGTAGTCGCGCTCCCAGAACTTGAGAGGCCTGGCGTAGGACATGATGAACACAGCACTGCCTAGCAGCGGGTTGAGTGGCGTGGAGAAGAGCCCCGAGAGCAGGGCTTGGACAAACAGCATGGCCGAGTCTGGGCACAAGTCAAGGAGGCGGTGGCAAGCACATGGGACCTCCCGCTGCCCTCTCCAACACCTACAGCCCCTAGCTGCAGCCCTCCCTGCACACTCCCACCCCAACAGCAGGCAGTAGATACGGGGCACGGCGAAAGGCTGGGCAAAGGCGTGGAAGGCCGAGCCCCAGGTGATCTGCCAGGGCGCAATGTAGGTCAGCACAAAACGCAGCTTGTACAGCAGGTCCCACAGCTGGCAGGGGCGCCGAGGGGAGATGGTAAAAAAAACGTACTGGGTTACTCATGGAGGTAGGATCCGCCAAGACCCCAGACGTCAGGCCTCACCCAGGACCTTGGGGCTACCCCCTGGTAGCCACACGGGGCCAAGCTCATCATTCCCAGCCCTTTCTCTCTGGACTTGGCTCGAGGCACCTGACACTGTGAGCAACTCCTGACTGTGCACAAGGTAGGATTAGCCATTTAATTCCCAGGAAAACCCCAGTGCTTCCTATGGCTTTCTCCATTTTACAGATGTCTGAGGTGCAAAGTAGGCAGAGATGGTGGTGACTCGCCCAGCTCATGCTATTCTGTCACGGTCCGGGACTGGTATTGAGTGGCCACCAACCTGGAGGCCACCAACCTGGGCCAGGCTGCACACGAAAATCAAATGCTCACATGAGAGAGAAAGGAGTGGAGGCCTGCACAGGGTCCCAGCTACCACGCCAGGCCTCCAGAACAGTGCAGTGGGTGGCCCTTTGCTCAAAATGACCTGTCTCCGGCCCCAAAGGGGGAATCCCACAGCCTGGTAGAGCACCTGCACACCCAGAACCCAGGGCTCCTGAAACTCCACTACGATCCAGTCTCCAGGGCTGTGGCTGGCAGAGAGGCAGCACTCAGAGGCAGGCTCTTTCCAGAGGACAAGGCCAGGTCCACTACACCAACTGCTTCTCAGGAAGGTGGGTGTGGGATAGGCCAGACTCGGGGCAACATCCTGGCTGACCACCAGTTCTCTAAAGGATCTGAGAATTGGTGACTCCACTCTTAAAAGCCTCAGCTTCCTATCTACAAGGGTAGGGTAGAAGTGACCCTTTTCTGGAGCCACCCCTGCAAAGGCCCCGAGCAGGGCTTCTCCCACCCAGGCAGAAGAATGCTGGGTCTCAGCCACGGGCTCACCTTGCTGCAGAGTAGGGACATGAGGAAGTAGTCAAGCAGGAAGCCCTGGGAGAGACGTGGATAGTCGAAGTGGAAGAGTAGGACAGTGAAGGCCAAGGTCAGGTACTGCTGGGGTGGACAGCAGAAGGCCGAGCGCAGCAGCTTCAGCCCAGCCACAGTCATCAGCAGCGCCCGGCAGCTGTGGGTGAGGGGCAGGCATCCGGTGCCCGGCAGGGGCTCAGGGGCCATGGACATAGGGGTCCAACCCTAGCCCACCCTGAGCCTCAGTTGTCTGCTGGGGCGGCCAGTCTAAAGGCAGTAAAGGGGGCATGTCTGCTTCAACGGGTAATGCCAGGGCTTTGATGGTAACCCCAGACACCAGCCATTCCCTCTATGGGCCTCCATTTCCCCAGTGGGAATCAAACGGGAATGCGGATGGGGGCCTGGCAAGCAAGGTGGTCCTCACTAGAGGCAGAACTTGTCCGGGTGACTGACGACAGTGTGGGCGTCCACTGTGAGAGCATTGAGCACCACGGCAGGATAGATGAGGTACTTCTCGACACACTGCAGGCCAGCGTAGAGCTTCTCAAACCACATCACTTGGGCAGCACCTGCGACAAGAAGGTGGCCTATTGGCCTCTGCGTGCCCCATCTTTCTTAGGGCCCTAAAGCCTGGGCACTGCAGGGCCAGCCAGAACCTTGGGGTGAACAAGCCAGGGACTGTACTGCTTTGGGTCCCTACAGACTGTGGCAGGAACTGATCTTCAGCAGCAAAAATAGAAGCTCGGGGCAGGTGCTTTACCTTATTTTACTATCTGTGGAAATAAGACTGATGAGAAACTCTCAGATACCCACTGGGGCTATACAAAGGTTACTACAGAAGGCTGGGAAGACTAATGGTGGGGTGACCCTGATCCATAGGCCCTGCTGAGGTGCAAGGCCCCTTGGCTCAAACTGACAGAAGCCAAAAAAATAAATAAATAAATAACTGACAGAAGCCAAGCTGCAGCAGAATGTGGTGGCACACCTGTAATCCCAGCACTTGAGAGGCTAAGGCGGCAGAACTGCCAAGATATCAAGGTCAGCCTGGACTATCTAGTGAGTTCAAGGCCAGGCTGAACTATACAGCAAGGCTCTGTCTCAAAAAAACTTTTAGCTGGGTGTGGTAGCACATGCCTGTAATCCCAGCACCCAGGAGGCTGAGGCAGGAGGATTGCCTGGCATTTGAGGACATCCTGGGCTACAAAGTGAGTTCAAGCACAGCCTGAACTACATATTGAGACCCTGTCTCAAAACAAACAAACAGGGCCAAGGATATAGCTCAGTAGCACAAGCCCCTGCCTGGCAAGTACAAGGTCCTAAGTTCAATTCCTGTCACCAAAAACAAAGAAACAGAAACACTTTTAAAATGCCACTGGTGACTAGTTTCCAATTCTGACCCCTTTAGGTCCCTGGACTTCTACTTCCAACTCCTTAGACATCAGAATGAGGGCAGAAAAAAGGTAGCACACACGGGATGAACTGGGCAGTGAGAAAGTGCGTAGAGACAGAGCAAGAAAGAAGTGCAGGGCCATGGCAGCGCAGAGGACAATGTGGGCAGAGGCTGCCCCCTGCTGGCACCCTGAGCCAGGAAAATGACAGCTCTCACCAAACTGGGTGGTGCTCCAGCCCGCACAGATACCCAGGCTGGGCAACAGGAGAGGAGACAGCGGCGGGCAGCCCCGCAGCACTCACCCCGCACTTCATACTGGCTGTACTCCAGCGGCTTCAGCACAGGCTGTGAGAGGCAGAACCAGGGCAGCTGCTTGCGGAGCTGCGGCAACAGGTAATGTGTGAAGAAGCCCACGGCTCCGGCCAACGCATACAGCACAAAGCCCAGCACCGACTGTGACAGGGAGAGAGGCCAGGCGCTCAGTCCACTGAGTGGAGCAGGAGCCGCTCCGGGCCCTTCGGAACAGCAGGCTCCCATGGAGACCGAGGGGAGGATGCTCTGTGCTGCACAAACCTTCAGGGCGATGAAGACAGTGCTGGCACTGATGGCGAAGGTGAGCACAGCGATCACCACACACATCACCAGGTCGGAGTGCAGGACCTCGCGCTGCAGGGCCAGAGAGAGAGCTCACTGCCTGTCACCCAAGGGCCATACGCCCCTCCTGCCCTGGACCTGCCACCACCTCCTCACTACAGCCCGCACTCATGCCTCACCACCGACTGGCGCATCTTCTCTGGCAATGGGTCTGGGGGCTCAGCCCGGGCTGTCTCCAGGCTCCGCTCCTCCAGTTCAGGGAAGAGCTTGCTCCGGACCAGAGACCTGGAGGAGGAAGTCAGGGCCAGGGCTGGGGAGGCACCCCCTCTTTGGCTGGCCCCAAGGGCCACAGCAGACCAGGGTCTATCCGTCACCACCACACACACTGATCCACAGACCCGAGCCCCTGCTGCCCACAGACACAAACACACACCCATGGCGCACACGTGTGTGGGCACAGACAGGAACACGCAGCACCTACCACAGCACAGTGGGATCACTGCTCTGTCGGCTCAGGTGGTAGGACAGTGCCACCAGGAGACCACAGAAGACGGAGAAGAGGACAGGAACGTGCTGCTCTGGCCAAGGAGTCTGGGGGGACAGCACATGCTGGTCAGGAGAAGTGAGGGTAAGTGTAGGGGCAGGGGTGTCCCCACGCAAGAAGCCCCTGCTGAGCCCAATTCCCAGCCCTGTCCCAACAACCCCGCTGGCCTCAGCATGCGCCCCCTTCAGGCCACACCTACCTTGATGGCCCCGAGGCAGAAGCCGTAAAGCAGGGCAGCAGCCAGCAGGCTGCGGGTGAGACTGAAGAGTGCAGTAAGTGGGCTGGTGGCAGCTGTGCGGCAGGGAGGAAGATGTGAAGGCCAGCTCTCATTTGCTGGCATCCCTCACCCCTGCCCCCCCCCCATCTTCCCGGAGCTGACTTCCTGGGACACCACTCCCCATTGTTCTCCGCTCCCCCAACCCTGAGACCTTCAGCATTTCTAACTTTCTCAGGTTGAAACCACTTGCCAGGGAAGGGGAGGGCGGGGACAGCTTCCTGTGTCCATGTTTTAGATGCAGGAGAAGACTCCACAAGGGCTGGAGACACAGACCCAATCCAAGGGCCCTATTGGGCTCTATGCACTCCTGCACCCTGGGCCGCCTGGAGGCATCATACCTGTGCCCCCAAAGCCATGCATATCTATTTGCTCCAACAGGTACATGAGGCAGGTGTTGACCTGGGGCAGGAGGCCCAGCAGGAAGACAAATGGGAAGCACAAGGTGAACACTGGCCAGGAGGAGAAACAAAGGCCCAGTCAGCCCACGGGCCCCGCGTTGGCCCACCCATAGGGGCTTGCTCCCCTGGGCCACCCCTACCCTGCCCAGTCTCACCAGTAGCCACATCTCGGGCACAGAAGAAAAAAGAGGCAGAGAAGAGTGTGAGGCCATAGAGGGACACAGGTGGGAAGGGCTGAGCTGAGCCCAGGGCATCCAGCAGCCAGATGAGCAGACAGCAGATGCAGAAGTAGACAGGCCGGCTGTACGCAATCACCCAGTTGTGGCCCTGTGGAGTCAGCGTGTGAGGAGCTGGGACTTCCCTGCTGCCCACCCCACAGGTATGTGCCTGTCACCATGCAGCCCAGGCCTGGCCCTGGCTCCAAGCTAGAGAGCTGGGCAGGGTGGGAGCAACTGTTGGGGGATGAGGGAGCCCTGCTGTGACCTCCTCCCACCTGGGCTCAGGCCCACTGGGGCTTCCCGGTGAGACACACTGCTCTGTGGGTACTCACGTGCATGGGAGACGCTGCATCAGGCTGCACGCTCTGGAGGGGAAAGAGCTATGCTGGCAACAAGACCCAGGGCCCTGCTGAGCCCTCCCCCTGGGCAGTGATGAGTGAGTGACCGGGCAGGATCCCAAGCAGTCTGGGCCTTGTGCTCTCACCTGTCACATGGTACCTTAAGCACCTTATCTGCTTCCTAGCTACCCTCTCCATGGGAAGGGGCAGGGGAAGGTCCAGGGAAAGGTGGGTGGAAGGGGACCAGGGCGCAAGGCCTGACCTTGAGTAGTGAGTATTGGCAGGAGGCAATGACCAGGCAGAACTGGAAAACCCAGATATCGGTGAAGAAGCCCTTGAGCAGCAGCAAGTAGCCCAGAAAAGCAACCAGGCTGCTCAAGCCAACTCCGAAGATGTTTTCCATCACCCCTCGAGTCCTATGGAGACAGGTACATCAGGGCATGGCCCTCCTGGCCCACCTTCTGGTGGGGAGTCGGGGACATAGGATTCTGTCCTAGAGTACCTCCTCCAGGCCTCTTCTCATTCCAGCCTCTTGGCCTCTAAAGAGCCAAACCTATGACCTCGAAGGGGAAGGTGGGGCTGCACCTGCTCCAGGAGGCTATCCTGTTCCTACCCAGTGTCCTAATCTTTGGCTCCTCCAGGTGCTGAGGCTTGAGGTACTGTCACTCTTATGAACTGCCCACCTCTAGCTCGTGGTGACACATGGCTACAATCAATAAACCACGCCACAGGTGCTACAAAATGGACACAGGCAGCTGGGCATGGTGGCGCACGCCTGTAATCCCAGCACTCGGGAGGCTGAGGCAGGAGGATCATTGCGAGTTCACGACCAGCCTGGGCTACAAAGTGAGTTCAAGGCCAGCCTGAACAGCATAGCAAGACCCTGTCTCAAAAACAAAAAACAAAAAACAGACACAGGCAAAACCCAACCAGCACACAGTCATGTGCCAGGACAGAGTCTGGTAGACAGGAAGCCCAGATGTGGGTTTAGGTCCAGTTCTCTACATTAAACAAAGAACAATCATTTGACTTTTCTATCGGACTTTCTGGATCTCAGTTTCCCCTCTAAGAAATGAGAAAGTCAAAGCAAATGGTTTATTATGTGCCTCTCTAGGTAACAGCACTCAATTTTCAAATTAAATCGAACACAGAAGCAAATAAAAAATAATGAGCTGAGAAGTGTTTGTCTTGAGCAGGGTTTTCAGAGAGACAAGGCTATTATAGCACTCCAGGACTTGGCTGCCTCTTGCACCCCAGAGGAACCTAAAGAAATGCCACTGCTACTGAGGCACAGTCAGGTTCTCTAACACCACAACTGTCTCCATGGGTCCTGAGAGTCCAGAAAGCAAAGGTTCTAAGGCTCTTTGGGGATGGGAGCCATGGCAGGTGGACACTCACCGGTCCAGCAGGGCCAGCAGGGCAAGACGTTCATAGCGCACAGAGGTCCAGCGGCCAGGAAGAAGCCAGTATTTGTAGCTGTGTTGGGCACGGGGTGGTGCCTCCTCCATCAGGGTCTGCTCCTGGGATTCGTGCAGGGAGTCCTGGTCCAGCAGGTCAAACTGCAGTCCCCACAGCCGCGGCTATCAGCCCCACCACCCCCATGATCCATTGCCATCCCCATCCCCAGCACACTTGCGTGGGTGACTATTTCCCTCAGCACACTGAGCAGCCCCACAGCCTGTCCTGGCCCTCGTCACAAGGGCCTGCTCCTTACTCTGGGCTCCCAGAACAAGGCTTGATGGCTGTGCGGGCTACCAGATTCGTCACTGACTACCATGTCCATCTTCCACAATCAGATGCACTTCCTGCCTTGTCCTAGGCTCTGTGAAGTTCACCCTGTCCTTTAGAATCTGGCACAAACGCTACCTCCTCCTCCCAAGTCATCACTGTCACCGTGACCATCCAATCAGGACCACAGAGCTCCCAGTCTTGAGGACTGGCTTGCACCCCAATGCTGGCACTGTGACGCCCTCTGTGAGCTGCTTCGCTTGTTTAGATTTGTTGTGCCTTACATTTAACAAACACTCACGGTGCTGGGTGCAATGGTACACACCTGCAATCCCAGCACTCTGGAAGGCTGAGGCAGGAAGATCACAGGTTTTAGCCTAGCCTGGGCAATTTAGAGACCTATATGGACCCTGTCTCAAAATAAAAAAAGAATTGTAAAAAGGGAGATTGGGGATATAGCTCAATGCAAAGGCCTTAAGACGGCCTTAATGCAAAGGGAGTTCAATCCCCACTCCCACTCTCCTCATCTCCCCAATAAACCATTCAAGAGGCATAGCTATGGGTCCAGCCTTGTGGACAGAATAAAAAGGACACAATGGAGGAGCTCAGCTGTACAACCCCTACCTCTGGAGGTAGCCATTAGCTGGAGAGGGAGGATGACGCTGACCCCAGTGATGGTTACAAAGTGTAAGTGATCAGGAAAGGGCACAGGGAGGCTTCCAGAGCCACTTCCAGAGCCTCGGGTGTTAGATATGTGGGTGTACTCCTTTTAGGATTTTTTTTTTCTTTTGGTGGTAGTATCAGGAATTGAATCCAGGGCCTTCACACTGCACTATATTTTTTAGTATATGTGCTGCCACAGCAAGCACTGAGCTACAGTTTTCATTGGGTCTCACTTAAGTCGCTAAGTTGCCCAGATGGGGCTTTGACTTTATTTTTATTTTTATTTTTATTTTTTGGTACCGGGAATCAAACTCAGGACCTTGCCCTTGCCAGCAGGCACTTATGTCACTGAGCTTTATCCCCAGCCCTAAATACTAACAATTTCATTGAATTTATTTATTTTGTTGTTTTGTTGTTGGTTTTTTTTGGTACCGGAAATTGAACTCATGACCTCACGCTTGCCAGGCAGGCGCCTATGCCACTGAGCTATATCCTCGGCCCCCAGATGGGGCTTGAACTTGGGATCTTCCTGCTTTAGTATTCCAGAGTGCTAGGATTACCAACACATACCACTGCACCCAGCATTTTTAGAATTATTCTTTCATGAAAGTGAATTATTCTTTAAACTCTCAGATCATTTGTTTGTTTGTGACAGAGTCTTGCTATGTTGCCCAGGCTAGCCTTGAACTCACCTCAAGTGATCCCCCTGCCTCAGGCACTCATGCAGTTGGGACAACAGACAAAATGCGATAGTATTTTTATGAATTTTTAGTACTTTTTGTGTTCCTGAACTGACCATGTAACCTACAGTTCAAATTGAGACGTTTGGGTCAGGGATTTAGCTTAGTGGCACAGTGCCTGCCTGGCAAGCACAAGGTCCTTAGTTCAAGTCCCAGTATCAAAAAACAAACAAACAAAAAAACCCCAACAAAACAAAACAAATTAAGACTTTTTTAGGAATAAAAAAAGATACTACTCAGCTGGGAATGGTGGCACATGCCTCTAATCCCAGCACTCAGGAGGCTAAGGCAAGAGAAATGGAGCAAGTTCAAGGCTACCCTGGGCTACATAGTGAGTTCAAGGCTACCCTGGGCTACATAGTGAGTTCAAGTCCAGCCTGAACTACTGACTAAGACCCTGTCTCAAAAAAAAAAAAAAAAAAAAGCTGACACTACCAATAACCATACTGAGACCAGAAGCATTAACAGAGAACGCCCCAGGCAATCACACTAAAGAAAGCTCCTGGCTCGGGGAAGAGCATGCTCATTCACTGGCAAACTGAGCCGCTACTTTTGGAGGTACCATTGCAAACACTCTTTGTGCCTGTAAACTGAGCCATTTAATGAGAAACAGCCCTATGACGTGCCCCCTGGCATAGCAACACAACCCTTGGGAACAAGACCTGGACAGGAAAAGACCTGTACTCCCCTCATTCTACCAGGGCCCCTACAGATTAGGAAGACACTCCAGACACGGCTGCAGAGTAAGCAAACACACCTTCCTGAACCACTCAGTGTCAAAGCCTGTACGCCCTCGGGCAGCCCTCAAAAGTCAGGACAGATGCAGCACAACAGAGTCCCCAAGCCCTCCCTCAGGGTGGCTGGCCCTCCCAGGCCAGCCTCAGCAAGCTGCTCACCACCTGGTCCCCTTCCCACACAGCCCTCCCCAGCTGCTCACCTCTGGTATCTCCAGGGGCACCCGGCGCACCTGCATGCCCTGTAAAACCACAGGCCTTGGCTGTAGCAGGTTCAGGCCTCCTGTGGCCTCAGGGACATCAGCAGAGTGGAAGCTGGAGGAGTGTGAGTGGCGGTCCCTGTGGGTACAGCAGTCATAAAGATCAAGGTCATCAGCAAGTTCCCAGATGAGGTGGGGTCAAGGCCACAGCCAAGCCATGACTGGGGTCCCAAAGGAACAGGAGCATTGGGGTGAGGAAGCAGCAGGCAGAAGCACCCCCTCCTAGCCTGAACAAGTTCCCCCTCTCTTCCCCTTTCTGAGGTAGCAGGCCCTGGACTTCCTGGAAGCTCCCACTTGGAAGAATCAGAGAGCCAGGGTCCCCCTGGCATCCACCCAAGCCTCCTTTTAATGCTCCGCATCTTCTTCTCCTCCCAAAATGGAGCTGCCCCAGCCTGACAGAGGAAGACAGAGAATGCCTGGGTTGGAGTGCTCCTGGGCAACACAGCACACCACACCACTGCCTGCAAAACGCCAGCCTGAACACTCACCAGGCCCCGTTGGCTGCCTGTTCCCCCTGCTGTCCCACAGGGTTCTCGTAGCCACCTCCAGCCAGGCCAAAGGTATAGGAGCGCCGCACACCTGAGACGGGTGTGAGAGACAAGGCACCTTGTCAGGAACAGGTGTACCAAGGCAGCACTCACGCGGGCAACCAGGACCACTGAGTGAGAAAGAAGCCTGGCATGGCAGCCCAGCCCCTGGGGACCAAGACCTGGATAGAAGAGCCTGCAGGTCAAGGACCTGGCCCCCGTGGTCAGCAGGCTCTGGGTCTGGCTCTGTCCCACCACTGGCTCAGCCTGTGACTTCAGGTGTGTCTTGGCTCCCTCATCAGCAGAGTGAAGACGACAGGACACCTATACTTCCGGTGGCGCTGGGCTGGCCGGGAAGGGGCTCACCGCTCTCGTCGTAGAAATAGTGCACGGCACCCTCAGAGGTGTCGTCAAAGGTGCAGGCCTCATGCACATTGGCACCGGCCCGTGTGAGCAGCAGCGAAGATGCGAAGTGCAGGGCAGAGGGCAGTGTCAACGCCCGCGAGTGGGAGGCAGCCCGGCTCCGCTGGGCCTCCTGCAGGCTGCTGGGAAAGGGTAGCCCTAGGTCAGCAGCTGGTGGAGCCAGCTGCCCCTCAACCTGCCCGGTGGCCCAGGGGGAAGATGCTCACTTGGGCGGGGAGCCCATGACAGAGGCTGGAGGGGTGGGGTTGCTGCCTGCATTGTGGCGTCTTCGTATGGCCTGGGTCCGCCTCACATTGCTCGAGCACTCCCGCTTGCCTGTCTCCTCCGCTGCTGCCAGTGAGAGGCCCCCGAATATAAGTGACAGAGGGTGATCAGTGCTGGTGGAATGGGCTGGGGGCAGGTGTTACAGCATGGAGTCAAAGGTCGCATCCAGTCCAACAATGCTCACAGCCCAGCCAGGTCACCTAGCCACTCATGCCTCAGTCTCCTCCTCTGGAATTAAGGGAGACAGTGGTCTGTCCTGCCCCACTGTGGCTGGAGAATGAGCATGTGTGACAAGCGTCCTCAGGGACCAGAGGCTCCAGTGCTAACCCCAGGACCAAGAGCAGGTGGATGAGTCCTCCCAACCTAAGACACTTGGCACACAACGTCACTCAACCACTGAGTCCATATCCATCTGCTGCTGGGAACACAGGCAAGCTGATGCTGACCAGGCCCACTCTAACCTACCCTTTGCCTAAACCCATGCCCCCAGCTCCCCTTGCCCACTCCACCCCTGCAGCCCATGCTCACCTCCTCCCACAGCACCTTCCTCCTGCAGCTCCCCCCGCCAGCCAGGCTGGTTGGCAGCAGGTCCCCGGCGGGCCTCAGCAGGCAGTCCAGCAGGCTCACCAGCAGCGGCAGCCAGCTCCACTCCCACCTGAGCCTCCAGCTCAGCCTTGGAGCCAGCGAGGGGAGCCCTCAGGACATCACCCCCGGCCCCATCCATGCTCAACACACGCGCATGTGTTTTGGCGCTGGCAGTACTGGGCGTCCGCTGAGTCCCATAGGGCCGTTTAGGGGGCACAGCAGTCCCCTCCTCACCCCCATGAGGAGCCCGCCGCTTCCGAGGCCCGCCTGCTGCACCCCGGGAGCTCTCAGGGGAGTAGCAGGAGGTAGATGAAGAGCTGTCGGTACTGTAGCAGCGCTGTGATCGGAGACTGGAGGCTGGGCTCAGTTCGCTGCCCTCGCTGGTGTCCTCATCCTCAAAGAAGCCTGCACCCTCAAGAAGTGGCCTTCGAGGGGCACGGCCAGGTGGAGAGTGTCTTCGCACGGGTGGCCGCCGTTTGCTAGGCCGCAGCAAGGCCAAGTCCTTGGGCCGCACAACCAGGAGCGGCTCGGCAGGGCCTGGTGGTGTCCCTGCTCCAATAACTGTGTCGAAGGAACGCAATGTGTCATCCGAGGGAACCCCAGCATCTGGTGAGGCAGGCAACTCAGCCTCAGAGGGGGGATCGGTGTCACTGCCCTCAGGGGCCTGCCCACCAGGTGGGCTGTCCAGGTGTGTTGAGTTGGTCTTCTCGCTCTTGAAGCTGCTCAGGGTCTCCCTGTCAGTGCCACTGAAGCAGGAATCTGAGGAGCCGGCTTTCTGGGGTGTGGGCTCACCAGAGCCCCGCCGATCTAGGGGCTGGTAGCCATTGGCTCCCCAGCATTGTTCCCGTCGACTGCTGGTCCTCACCAGGGCCCGGTCAGGCCGGGTTAGAGTCAGGAAGCTCTTGCTCAGCTCCTGGCTGAGGCTTCCCTTCAGCAAGGGGCTCATGGGAGTGTCGGCCACACTGCTCCCACCCCAGGGAGCGCCATCTCCGGCCAAGGGAGAACGCTCCGAAGAGTCCGTGCTGGGGAGACAGGTGTCTGGGATAGCTCCTGGGGGCGTCTGGGGAAGGTCTCCAACTGTCAGAAGAAGACAGAAAGTCAGATGGCTGTTCTGCCAAGGAAAGTGGTGTTAACAGGCGCTTAGGTCTCTGCTCTCCCTGACGGTCCAGTTCTATCCACAAGTGCAAAGACAGCCCCAAGATGCAGCAAAAGTTGGGGTGATTCAAGGACAGAAGATTTGGTCTTTCCCACAAGCGCCCGCCCTGTCATGCCCACTCACTCAGTTTCTCTTGTGAGCTGAGTTTCAGCATCTCTCGGTCGGCAGAGGTAACGATCACATTGTTGCTGCCCTGCTCTCGCACGAGCTCCTTGATATCTGCAACCATGGCACAAAGGTGTCAACAAGATCAACCTATTCCACCTTACCACCTTCCAACCCTGAGCAGCAGCCACCTACCTCTGAGAGGCCCAGAGTCCTCCATCCGGGGCAGTAACTCCTGAGCAGAGAGAGATGCATGAAGGAGCAAACCGGACAGGCTCAGAACCCACCCACAACAGACTGGCTCCCAGGAAAGCAGTGAGAAGCTGAGGACCAGGACTACTCACCGAGACCTGGTTGAAGCCAAACACAGAATGCTGGGAACTGCAGCGTACCGGAGGTGTGGAACTCACTTTCCGAAAAACTGTCATCTCCACTCCGGGGTCCCTAATGGAGGAAGGAGAAGCAGGTCTGAGCTGACCGCCTCCCTCTATATCATACTTCTCCCCAACTTCACCACTGCTCCACTCTCAAGGGTTCCTTTACATACCTGACTGCAGAATGCATGAGAGAGTCAATGTTCCCAGTCCTGCTCTCTCCTCTTAAGGCTCAAGGCACTGAGAACGCTCCATCCCCCACACAGCCCCTGCCCCACCCACCTGGGCAGGCTGCTGTCCGCCTGGGCAGGCTCCTCCTCCTGCTCTCCCATCGTAGAGTTGCGTTTCTCCACAATCTCCCCCTGGTCGAACATGGCATGCAGCCGATAGTTTACAGTCTTGATGGTGGCAAAGATGACAGCCACCACGAGGCAGTACACACCGGCTACCATCAGGCTGGGGGGCAGGACCTGAAAGTGGTAATAAATCAGGTAGCTTCTCACACAGCCTTACCCCCTGGGGGGGTACTTGCCACCAGGCACATGGCTAGGATTAACAAATTTCCATGAAGACTTCATCACCCCTCTGTATAACCGATATGAAGATCCTGGCAGAGGAATGTCTCCTGCTTGAATGGCTCAAGGTCACCTGACCCAGGAAAGGAAGAATTTGGCATCTCCACACACACGCAAATTCTACACCAATTCCTCTCTCCACAGTCCAGCACCCCAGGTACGGCTGCGAATCCCTGCCAGGCTGCCCAATCTCTACGATATCCTGTCCTCCCTTCCTCGACAGGAGTTACAGGTGTCAGCAGTGTCTCACCATGTACAGCAAGAATGGAAAGGTGAGCAGGAAGATCCAGACATAAAGGTGGAAGCAGTTGGAGAAGGTGCTCTGATGCGGATCGAAGAACCAACCTCCGGTGAGCGAGGCCCACACCCCCTGGCGCAGGATCTGCAACACTTGAGACCCCATGACCCCGCCGCTGCAGCGCGCGCCCCCCTCCTGGGACCCTCATGGGGGCGGCCCCCGGCCCATGCCCCGCCTGGCGCCGGAGGGCCCCAGGGCCCCGCCTCGCGCTCACGCCATGGTCTCCCCCCAGCGGGGGAGGGGACTGGCGGGGCGCGGGTGCGGGCAGGGGGCGGGGCCGGGCGGGGGTCAGCGGCGTGAGGCACGAGTGCAGGGATGGGCCGGCATCAGGGGTGGGGTCTGAGCCCAGAACCCCGGCCCAGAGCTGCTCCAAGGGGCTGAACCAGCAGGCAGGCGCGGGGCACGGGCCGGGCACCCGTCGGCGGCATCCAGAGGTGGGCGTGGGGGTGGGTGCTCCTGGAGTACAGGCAACGCTTCCTTGGTTGCAGACCCGTGAAAGCCTTGGGACCCTGAGGTCCACTTCTGGGGTCTCAAGTCAATCCCTAAGGGCTTTACGTTAGCCCCGCTTCTGCCGGTACCGGCCCAAGGAGGAGGCCGGAAGAAACCGCGAGCTGCCAGCCTACAGTGGCGCATGCGCTTGATAGACCTAGTTAGGACCCGGAAAAGGAAAAAAAAAAGTAACAGCACGAGTGCGCAAGCGCAGAGAGGTGACGGAGCAGAGAAACAGTACGGGAGAGCCTTTTGGGCGTGCGCAGTCTAAAGAAATCCAAAGGCGCAGCTTTTGGGCGCATGCGCATATCCAGGCGGGGCCAACCTGGTGAAGACCCGACAGCTGGGCGGAACGGAATGGGTAATTGAGTAGCCATTGGGTAGTGGCCGAATAATTGACGCAAAGCTTTTCCAGTGAGTTACAGGAGGCGGGGAAAATATGTAGGCGTGAACTTCCCAAGACTACGCTAAAATTTCGGCCCTCCTGGATCACACCTCTCTCTGGTCGCCCCTTTTATTGCTAGACCTCCTACGTCACGGGCGCCCCTGGCCCTGATGAGCGTTTACTTCCGGGTCAGAACTCAGTCTTACTGTGTAGAGAGAGAGAGAGATCCTGCGGAACAGGCAGGAATAGTCGAGTAGGATGGTGTCGTCTTTTTTAAAGTGACAGGCCTTGAGTCAGTTGGTGTCAACACTACCCAGCGGTTGTGTGACTCAGCTATTCTAAATCCAATTTGGGGCATACTTCTGGACAACGGTCTCAGGATTCCGCCCACTGGGGAAGGGACGTGAAGAAGCGGGTTATTTCCCAGGTGAGAGAAAGAAGTGTAGAAGAGTCTGTTCCAAGAGAGCTTGGAGGCACAGCCAGTTCGTCTGTCTTCCAGTCTTCCCCACCTCCGGTCCACTAGCTTTGCAAAACGGTGTCACTTGTTCCTATTTAAAATACGAAAAACGTGAAGCTGAGAGAAAATACATCATAGTCCTGCAACTTCGCAGCCAAGACCGTACTTGGGTTTGCCTTCTCAAGTCGCGCCTTCTCAAGCGCGACTCAATAACCTCTTTTACAGATGTGGATTCAGATACCGAGGGCAGGGCTGGCCTGAGCAGCGGACCACCTCGCCTGGGGCTTTTCTTCCTAGGTCCCAAAGCCTGCTGTGATGGGGGTTCTAGGGCTAGCCTTGTCCTCCTGCCTCTCCTGGCCCGCCTCTCTGGGAACTCCCCAGCCCAGCCGCTGGAGCCTCCTCCGAGAGGGGAGCGGTGCAAGCCGCCCGCGTCATCTGATGCTGTTTCCTGCTGGAGGGAGAAGAGCGGAAAAAAGTGAAACTCCACCCTCCACCTCTGCCTCCCGCCCCCGGGGCCAAAGTACAAAGGGAGGAGGAAGAAGGGAACGGGGTCGGAGCTGTGGGGCCAGAGACACCAGGGCCAAGAAGAGACAGCTTCAGGTCAACGGGGAACTCTCCCTCCACATTCTGGATAAAGACCCACGGGAATCCAGGCACTGCCCCTGGCAGGCCCCACCTTACACTTGGCTGGCGCCAGGGCCAGCCTCCTAGGACTACTCCGGGACCCAGGGACGCTCAGGCCCCTCCAATGCAGCCATGGTGAGACTCAGGAGGCCCCAGGGCCCCACCCCTCCAGCCTGACCACGCTGCTGTAGGTGCCGTGCTCTAGAAGCCCGAGATGCGGGGGGCCGGGAGGCGACACTCCTGGCTCCCCAGAGAGGCGTGGGTCTGGGGCTGAGGGCCAGAGCCCGGATGCCCAGGTTCTGGCACTAAGGCTTCACCGGCCAGCAGGGGTGGGGACCACGGGCACCCAGAGAAGACCGCCCGCACATTCCAACGCGAGCTCTTGGCCATGGAGCCCTTGAAGAACCTCTTCCTCAAGAGCCCTCTGGGATCATGGAACGGCAGTGGCAGTGGGGGAACAGGGGGAGGTGGTGGAGCCCGGCCAGAGGGGTCCCCAAAGGCGGCTGCTTATGCCAACCCTGTGTGGACAGCCCTGTTTGACTATGAGCCCAGTGGGCAGGATGAGCTGGCCCTGAGGAAGGGTGACCGTGTCGAGGTGCTGTCTCGGGATGCAGCCATCTCAGGAGATGAGGGCTGGTGGGCGGGCCAGGTGGGCGGCCAGGTGGGCATCTTTCCATCCAACTATGTGTCTCGGGGTGGCGGCCCGCCCCCCTGCGAGGTGGCCAGCTTCCAGGAGCTGCGACTGGAAGAGGTGATAGGCATTGGTGGCTTCGGCAAGGTCTACCGTGGCAGCTGGAGAGGGGAGCTGGTGGCTGTGAAGGCAGCTCGCCAGGACCCTGATGAGGACATCAGTGTGACAGCTGAGAGTGTTCGCCAGGAAGCCCGGCTTTTCGCCATGCTGGCACATCCTAACATCATTGCCCTCAAAGCTGTGTGTTTGGAGGAGCCGAACCTATGCTTGGTGATGGAGTATGCAGCTGGGGGGCCCCTCAGCCGTGCCCTGGCTGGGCGGCGCGTGCCCCCCCACGTGCTGGTCAACTGGGCCGTGCAGATCGCCCGTGGGATGCACTACCTGCACTGTGAGGCCCTGGTGCCTGTCATCCACCGTGACCTCAAGTCCAACAACAGTGAGTTCCCAGGGGCGTGGCTGGAGGGTGGCATGGCCCAGGTACCTACCTCTTCCCACCCCTCATCTGCCTTTAACAAGGGATCTGCCTGAGGTCAGAGCTCCTGCCCAGGGGAGTCCAGCTGACCAGGGGTACCTCTGGCCTTGTACTGGCGCCAAAGCAGGAATTCCAGCCACTTGGCAGAATGCTCCCCTTCTTGCCCCTGAAGGAGCCTTGATCCTAGCCTGGAGCTGCCATTTGGGCAGATTACAAAACTCAGATCTCTCAGGTGGGCCATCAGCATCCTGCCTAACTGCAGTCACCATCTCAAGAAAGTCCCCTGGAGGCCAGTGGTCCTTATCTTCTCCTTCCCTGAGCTTCACCACTCTCATGGTATTGCTGGTCTCTTCTCCCCTTCCCTTCCCTCATAGTGAGCAGCTCCTCCAGGAAACAGATCTCAGGGGAAGCCCCCCACTTCTCACTGAGGTCAAGGCTCTGTAGAGATTGAAATGCTGGCCCTACTCTCTGGCTGCATGGCCTCTAGCTGGTTATTTCAACTCAAAGCCTCAATTTCAGCCTCTGAACAGGGAGTGACCAGGAGGCTGAAATGGCTTCACAGCCTGGGCAAACCCTCACACACCATGCCTGACAGTGGGTCCTCAGCTGTGGACATGTACATTGGAGGGGAAATGGCCGTAGGAGAGCAGGATGACCAGCAGGACCCAGCCTAGAATCAGCGTTTCAAACCCCCAACATGCTTGTCCATCATGGGTCCAAGACACGTAAGTGACAGGTTCAGGGGCCATCCTGAGGCAGGCAAGCTTCAAACCAGGCCAGAGCAGGCAGCCTTTAGAGAGGCATGTAGTTGGGTGTGTAGGCAGAGCCTGACAAGAGCAAAGGCATAGAGGTGTGTGTGCGGGGTGAGGGCGCTGGGACCAGGCCCTGCTGGAGTTCAGGGGTAAGAAATGCAGGAATGGGGATGGAGGTGGGGGCAGACCCAGTGGGGACACTGGAGAGCCACAGAGATTCTTGGAAGAGACAGGCATGGATATTTTGAGTTTCCAGGCCTTGGCTGACCATGGGCAAGGGGTGCGGGAGAGATGAGCACCAGGACTCAGTGATATTCAAGTCCTTGCCAGGGTTGGAAGGGAAGGGTCAGAGAAGACCTGCCAGCCACTCCCCATTCATCTGTGCCAGAAGCCAGTTCCCAACTCTCAGCCTTACCCCTGGGCCCTAATAATCTAGGGACACCCCCACACACACCTTGCCCTAGCTTACGGGGGATTCCCCAAAGGGCTATGGGTGGGGGGCTCCTGTCTTCTGTTTTTCCTCCGTTTTCTTTCCAGAAAAAATGGAACAATAGCCCAGGCTCCAGCTCCCCACCCTCCCCACAGTTTCCTGTGTTTCCTGCTGCCCCTGGGCTGGCTTCCTGCCCCAGCTCCCTCCCTAGCCCAGCTGCCTGCAGGGGAGGAAAGAGCTGGGGGTGGGGGGGTTGCTAGAGAGGAAGGAGCCAGGGATTGCTCCCCTACTGTGCCCCCCCTCCAGTTCCTCTGCTTCCCTCTCAGAGTCTGAGCTGCTGTGGTGAAGGGCAGGCAAGGTGCCCTCAGCTTTTCTGAGCCTGGCATCTAACCTCCTAGACCCCAGTCCTAGGCCGGAGTTTCTGTCGGCGGGATTGGGGTGGGGGGTGTCCCTGAGCTGGGGGGGCATGGGCAGGAAACAATGGCATGATTTTCCTGGACAATGGGGGCCTTGTGAAGAAGCCTGGCAGGGAGAGAGGGGGGAATTCTCCAGGCCCACGAGTCACAGGACTGAGCAGCCAGCCCAGCCTGGGCCTGACCTCCCCCAGTTTTCCCCCAAAAGACCCCCCTCCCAATTGGAGACTTGGGCCAGGCCTCCCAAAAAGGAGAAGTAAGGACCATGGGGGGAAGTGGAAGAGGCGTGAGTTGCCTGGGCCACTCCCAATGCCCCCCCGCCAGGTCCCTTTCAGGAGCCAGTGAGCCCTAAAGAGGGGCTGCAAGGTTTGCCTCTTCTCTCAGTAGCCCCGACCTCCCAGGTCCAGGGTCTCTGTCAGATACCACAACAGCAGCTTGGGTTGGGACAATTTCAAGGCCCAAGCAGACAGCAGGACAGCTTGGAAGAAGAGCAGGAGATGCGAGCTTGAGGCTTAGCGGTGTGGGGATGGGGGTAGCAAAAAGACCGTGAGTGTGAAGAAGTCCTAGATTTGGGGTGAGCTGCTGTTCCACTCTGGGCCTCAGATCCTCTAACTGAAAAAGGGGAGACTGGCCCCTCCCTAGCTGTGGTGCAGGAAGTGCCTTGCCAGTCTGTGGTGTCCCATGTGCAGCCAGACACCTGGTCAGAAGGAGGCAGGAAAGGCTGGTCCTGCAGAGGCGGGCAGGGCTTGGGTTCTTCTCCCTCCCTGGCCTATCATGGGACCTCCTCAGATTAGCTTGTGCTGAGCCTCCTGCAGCCAGACCAGAGGCTGCAGAGAAGTAAGGAGTGACCCAGGGCAGAGGAGAGTGTGACATATGTGATTGCACTATCTCCAGGGCAACCAGCTTGTCCAACACCTCTGCCAGATGTCAGACCCCCAGCAGAGGCTTTGAAAATTGATAACTAGCTTGATGTTTGTGTTGACCGCCCCCCCCAGATGGTTTTGTTGTCATTCTTTTTGTTTGTTTGTTTGTTTTCCGGTACCGAGAATC